TATGCTGGTCCTGACGGCCCTACGGCCCCTTGACTCCTGACCCCCTGACCTGACACAACGTCATGATGACTAACCTCGCGACAAGGCCCCGAAACCACGGGGCCATGGGCCAAAGGTCGCTTTACATCGATGCCCTGGACATGGTGGCAGTCAAGACGTTTTTCAAAACTTCAAAATGCAAATGTGTTTTTGCGTCGTAACCCGTAACCGCCCCTTTCCCAGGTTGCGTTCCGTTCCACACCTAACGTTCCCAGGACCCGACCTCCCCCCTGACAGGTCCCCCGCGGGCAGCCTGGTGATGTCCAGGTCCTCCCTGGAGGAGGAGTCAGCGGCGCGAACTGCCTGGGTGGGCGCTGAGCCGGAGTTCGTACGCAGTCGCCGCAAGGACGAGGAGCAGTTGCGAGGTGGCGTGTGGCGCACGGAGGGGCTGAGCGGGGTGGCGTTGGAGCTGGTGCGCGGGGATGAGGCGGCCTCCAGGTGGGTGTGGGGGGGGGCGTTACTTGGAGTGGGAAGGGCGGGTGGGTGGGTGGGTGCGAGGTGCTGGTAGGTTGGGGGGAAAGAAGGGCGAACCCAGGCATGCTGTTACCGCGTGCAGTTATGTGCGCGTGTGTGTGTGTGTGCGTGTGTGTGTGTGTGTGTGTGTGTGTGTGTGTGTGTGTGTGTTTTCCGTTGTACGCTCCGCAGCCGCACAGCGGCTCAGCTCCCATGCCTTCGCTGCGCCTCACCCCCCCTCCCGCTATGTGAGTGAGTGCAGTTGGCTCAAGAAGTTGGGTTTGCAAAAGCGGTTGTTAGTGGACGAGGCACCTGCATGTCGTCCGGGGCTGGAGGCGATGTCGTACTTGTACGTGTACGCCACGTGGGTCAACACGGGGGCGCTGCCGTGCGCCGAGAGCGGCAGCCACTATCGACCTAACCACCACGCCAATCTGGCACTGGCCATGTTCAGGTGGGGTGGGGTGGGGTGGAAACGCATGGTTCTCTAAATCCCCATGGTTTTTGTATAATACAATATATAATAAATATAATGCAATGTATTAAGATTCTTAAGAGCTTGTTGCGCTCAGATACATTCCCTCAACTTTTACATGTGTATGTTGTTATTATTATTATTATTATTATTATTATTATTATTATTATTATTATTATTATTATTATTATTATTTATTGGCACCGCCTGTTGTCCCGGTTCCGGGGGTTCACCGGGTTCAGGTCCCTGGAGTGGATCATCGGCGACGCCACCCGCGGCAGCGGGGCCCGCGAGCCGGTGACGGAGCGCCTCATCCTGGCGGCTCGCCGCATGCACTCGCGGCTGCCCTCCTTCAGCGGCCAGTTCCGAGCCAGCACGCCCCTCACCCGGATCAGGGACATCGCGCACCGCAACGACATACCCAAGGAGCTCAAGGTAGGGGTGCTGGTGGTGCTGGTGGTGGAAGAGGAGGACGAGAATCTGTAGGGGAAAGTAGAGGTAGAGGTAGGGGTAGGGGTAGGGTACACGACATGTATATGGGTGGATTTGGTTTGTGGGGGAAGAGGGCTGGAAGAAAGGGAGGGGGGTAACACCGCATATCATTCCCTCCCGACGAGTACGGCAACATGGAGGATATCCCCCCTGAAGTAAGCTCTCGCCCCAGCAAGCCCTGCGGGCCCCGCACGGTAAGATGTTTTCGCCTCCGGTCCTTTCTGCTCCACGGCCGGGGCCGGGGCCCAGGGGAAGCTTGGCTTTCTCTAACCCCCGCCCCACTCACCCCCTCCTTCCCCGCTTTTTCGTGCATATAAAAATAATTTCCCTCCCTCCTGTACCTCCTGCACCTCCTGTGCTGCTATTTCCATGCAGGATGAAATCAAGCACACGCTGCAAAATAAGTTGCACCGCTGCGCAGGTGGGTGTGTGCGTGAGTGAGTGCGAGGGGTGTGTCTCCCACGTGCAGCAGGAGCTCTGGGGTTGGGGACCAGATCCGTGTCTGTGTATGACTAGTTTCCCGCACCTTCCTGGCATGGTACTAATTGCCCTTCCCTTCCTCCGTGCCCCCGGACCATAAGGCCCCGAGGACCTGGTGGCTACGGAGGCCATGCTCCAGCGGGTTACTGCCGTACCGGGGCAGTACTCGGAGTCCTTCGTTGAGGAGTTTCGGATCTTCACGGAGGAGCTGCGGGAGTTCTTCAACGCGTCGGGTGCGTGGGGAGGGTGGGAGGGAGGAGGGTGGGAGGGAGGAGGGTGGGAGGGAGGAGGGAGGGGCCGAGGGGGGAAGGGCATGGGCGGGTGGGTGGGTGCTATGACGTTGTGCCACGGCGTGTGGGAGCACGTGAACATGTGTGTGCGAGAGTGTGAGAAAGAGGGTGTGTGTATATGTGCGTGCGTGCGTGTGTGTGTGTGTGAGGGAGAGAAGAGAGATGCGATCAGTCTTTGGCGGCCCCGCCCTTCCTTCAAGAACATACGCGACCCATCGCAACACAACAGACACGCCGCGGCGAAACACACACACGTCTGTCGGTCGCATGTCCTTTACGACCGCACTTGGACAATCACTTGGACAATCACCTATTACTCCGCCTTTTCTTAACCAGCTTAATCGACGGGAGGGATCCCCACGCCGCATCTGGTCACCCGCCCTCAGGGCTGGTGGAGCTGCTGACGTCGGGCCGCGCGCTGGAAGCCCTGGATGACGCCCACGCCAGTGCCGTACGGCAGCTCATCACCACCAAGCAGCGTGTGGAGGATCTGGGTGCCGCTGCCCGACTGGACGACCTCATGGCGCTGCTCACAGCGGCAACGCAGGTGGTAGGGGGTCGGAGGAAATGGGAACTCCAGGGTGGGCTGGGTGGGGGGCGGGAGCCTGGGATAGTGCGGTAGAGGAGGGGTTGGGCAGGGGAAGAAGAGCGAGCAGGGAGGGGGGATGTAAGGCGAAGGAGGGAGGTGGATATCAATCCTGAGGGGGCTTGGGGGGAAGGGGGCGTGTGGGGTTGGGGCTGTTGCGAGGAGAAGGGGGTTATTGTCACTGTCCTTAGAAGGGCGTGTGGAGGGTCGGTAAAAGGGGTGGGGAGGCGGAAATGATTTGGGGCAGAGTCGGTGGAGGAGGGCGCCTGCATCTTTCCTCCCAGCCCAAACCAGCCCGACCCAACCTCCCACGAGGCCTCCCTGCTCCACATCAGCAGCTGTTGCCGCCCTCACCTCGTCCCCACCACCACCCCCACCACCACCACCACCAGCCTCCCTCATCCTTCCCATCCTCAGTCTCTACCTGGCCCCACCCCCTCTCTCTCTCTCCGTCTTAATGTTTGCTTGAACACATTATTTCCCCCCGCCCGCTGCATAATTCCTCTCTCTGCATAGCCACCAGCCGTCACCAGCCCCTCCCTCCCCCCCCATACACCCGGGCAGCAGCTTCACTCGTTCGTGGTTCGTCTTTCCCTCCCATACACACACACGCACACCCTCATCAGGCGCGATCCTTCTATGCCGCTGGCTTGGTGGCGGGTCTGCGCAACGACGTTACGGACGAGATCCTGTCCATGAGGCAGCGGTGGCGGCTGGCGGACATCCGGCTGGAGGAGTACAGCTTCGTGGTGTTGTCCAGGCTGATCGGGCTGCTGGAGGAGCAGGTGGGGCATATCATGAACAGTGGTGGGGCATATCATGTACAGCGCGCATGTATATGTGTTGTTGTTGTAGAAGGCGGCGTTTTGCGTCATCACATCACCGCAACACACAACGCGCAGTGCGAAAGGCCGACGGACGCCTGCGAAGGCGTTGCGGGGGGCTCAACCGCAAGAACAAAGAGGTGGTGTGTGTAGTACGTACGTATGTACATACATGAAAGTACGTATATATGTATGTATGTACGGCAAGAACCGGTGAGGCGCCTGTCTTGCATTTTTGTGCGTCTTGTATTTTTGTCGGCCTCCCTCGCATATGCGTCAACAGCATTTGTGGCGCGTATTCTAAAATCTGTTCGCTTCTCGCCTTCCCCCATTCTGTCGTCGTAGCAAAGAATGGATGGTCGCAAGTCGCGTGCCCCGGGCCCCAACCCCCCTCTTTCCAACCCGCACCCCAGGGCGCCCCCCCCAAGCTCCCCCGCGCCAGCAACCTCCAGTGGGCTCTGCCGCTTGCCGCCCTGACCTCGGGTCTACGACACATGGGGCTGTCCCTGTACGACACTCGGGAGCTGCTCGTACTGGAGAACGAGCTTCAGAGGTGGCACTCGACGTGCCCGCTGGTGGGTCGGTGGGTCGGTGGGTGGGTCCTAGGGTCCTTGGAGACGGGTCCGGGGATTGGAAGGATAGAGCGTGTCTGTGTTTTTTCCTCGGTTGTGAGTTTGTTATCCCACCTCACCTCCCCACCCTCCCACAACTCCGCTTTGAAACCAAAACTCGTCCCAACTGATAATACCACAAACCGTTGTCAGGTTGAGACTCGTGATGCGGCCCTCCGAGCGAAGGCCTCCCTGGAGAGAGCCCTGCGTGTGGCCACAGAATACAGTGATATGGTGACGGAGGTGTACGGCAGTACGGCAGCCACACTTGGCCGCGCGCTGGGGCTGCCGGAGCACATGGGTACCGTCTTTGCGGGTGAGTGAGTCCAGCTGCTCGCCTGCATGCCGGGGGGCCGGCCGGCTGCTGCTGCTGCTGCAGGGGCCCAGCCAGGGGGGGGGGTAGGAGAGCCGGGCTAGCGGGTAAGGTGGAAGTGGGGGGTGGGGAGGAGGCCCCTTCGTTTTTGGGGGGAAGGGAGGAGAGAGGTGGGTACGTGGATGGGTGTGTGTGGGGGGGTGGGCGTGTAGGCGGTAGTGGGTGGGCTTGTGTTTAAAGGGAAGGGAAGGGGTGTAACGTCATGCATCCGAAACGGTGGCGAGAAAGTGGCGGCGGTGCGGCGCGGGCGCTGTCAGCTACGTCGGCAGCTCGCGATTGCCGTTCTGTCCTTTTAATAAAGGTGTCGGGTTTGTTGGGGGAATGCTTTGGGCCGGCTTTAATCCAAGACCAAAGTTACTGGACGTCTGTCTTCGCATCTCCTCTTCCTGCTTGATGGCTCGCCACCAGCACCAATGTACGGCCTGTCGCTTGCCGTACATCCCGCCACTGATCCCGCTGTTCCGCGATTTGGTTCTCCCTTGGCCTTGGCTGTTCCCATTACCCGATCCCCCCAACGGCTTGCCTCCCCTCCCCTCTCCACCTGCATATGACCTCCCGTTCCACCTGCTCTATCTTTAGGGTTTTCATGAAATCGCATTCCTGTCGCATTTCTGCGTGATGTCATGATTTCGTGTTTGCAGAGGCGGAGGTGCGCGCCAGTATGGCCTTCCAGGTCTCCAAGCTTGCGGCCATGTTGGCTCGGGCGCTGAGGACGGCTGCAGGCCAGGAGCCCTGGGATGTGCTGGTGCCAGGTGAGGGGTGGAGGGGGGGGGTAAGACGGATCACTAGCGAATGAAGCAGTTACCAGAGGTAGACGGATAGTCCAGGAGAAGACAAATGGGGGGCCTAACGGGGGGGGGGGGAGAAGGCGGGGTGGAGACCGGACATCTCCGGTCGGGCCGCTTGCCGGGAGCAATCCGGCGGTTGTGGGGTACACCTGCCGCATCTGAGGCCACGTGCGGTGCGGCCACAGCCAGCTCGCAGGGGCGAGCGAGCTCCTCCCCCAAGGTACCATTTGAACGCAGCGGGCACTGACAGCATTGGCGGAGAGCTGCGAGACGTCCATGGCTCCAGGCAACGCGGCGGCCCCGCCACCTCCATTTTTTTGGCAGTTAGTGTGGGGGGCCGTCGGAAGTTTTTTTCCGCATTGATTCTTACCTCCGATGATTACACACACACACACACACACACTCTTTCCCCCGCTCGCATCCCGTCGCACCCCGCTCCTCCGGCTCCAAAACTATCGGTATTTAAGTTCACCGGAAAGAGCAGCTGCGGAAATCGCCATGACGGCTTTCGATTCCTTCTGCAGTTCTTCACAATTTTCATGTACGGGAGTACCGGCAGTAGATTGATTTCCCTCCTCGTTATAACTCTACCACTGTGACCTGATACCCCCCCCCTTCCTCCACCTTCCGCCGCGGCCTTCCCTCCCCCCCTGGCAGGCGAGGTGACGGGGGTGTTGCGGGAGGTGCCACAGCTGGATGGTGCAGCGCTGGAGGGCCCCTCGGGCAGCAAAGGGGGGAAGGAGGAGGAGGAGGGTGTGGTGCTGGTGGTTCGGAGGGCGGAGGGAGACGAGGAGCTGGGTCCCCTGGGTCCGCGGCTTCGTGGAGTGGTGCTGCTGCAGGAGCTGCCCCATCTGAGCCATCTGGGGGTGCGGGCGCGGCAAGACAGGGTGAGCAGGGAACGGAGGGGAGAGAGGGGGGATTGTTTGTGCGTGTGTATGTGCGTGTCCTGGGGGGTCCTGGTATGTGGTTGGGCGTCCTAAGGTTTTAGAGTCGGTGTAACTGGCTGCGCGCTGACCTTGCGGTCTTCGTCCTGAAGCCTTCCGCTTCATCTGAGTTTAGTGTGGGGGTGGTGCGCCGTGGCTTCGTCCGGCGCAGGGAAGTCTTAAGGATTGTGCCGCCGGTCTTTTGATATTAGGGTTGCGGTTTGCATTCCTTCACTCCGCGCCTTCGTTCCAATTGCATTTTCTATGTGAACCCTTTCCACCCACCCACCCTGGAGTATCCCTCTATTCCTGGTATCAGCTTCACTCGTCTGTGGTTCATCTTTTCCAAAACCCCCTTTTTTCTTCTTCCGTTTTTCTCCCCTGGGGGACCTGGGGGACCCGGCCAGGTTACATTTGTCACCTGCGATGATGAGGACACCGCGTCCCGAGTGCTGCGGCCCCTGATAGGCCGTCGAGTCACTCTCACCGCAGCCGGAGACAGTACTGTCACTGTACGGGAAGCTACGGCCGCAAGCGCCAAGGCGGCGGGGCAGCCACCGGCGGCTGCTGCGTCGCCGCCCGCAGCGGGAAGCAGCAGCGGCAGCCGCCGCCGCCGAGTCCGCACCCGACGGCGCCGCGGCGAAGGCTGTCGTCGAGGCCGCCAAGGCGGGCCGCTGGGCTGATGTGGTGGTTCCCCTGGAGCGTGCTGTCGCTGCCACCTGTGGCTCAAAGTCCGCCAGGTGCGCCGCGCTGGCGGCTCTGGCGGCTGACTCGGGTGGGATGTTCTCGGCACCGCGCGGCGCAGTGGTGCCGTTCGGCGGGCTGGAGGCGGCGGTAGCGGCAGCGGGGCGCAGCGAAGAGTTCGAAGCGCTTTTGGGTCGTCTAGATGACCCACGGGTCGATGGCGCGGAGCTGGAGGCGGCATGTGGAGAAATGCGCGCTCTGGTTTCGGGACTAAATGTCCCCGGGGGCCTGGTGCAGCAGGTGGGGGCCCTGTGTGTGTGTGTGTGTTTGGGTAGGGGACTGCTGGGGTAAGAAGTACCACAAAGGGATCCCATCTCCCGCCCCGCGCGGGCTCTGGTAGGAATGCCGAAAAGACTGGAAGACCCGGGAGAAGGGAGAACCGCGCTCTGGGTGCCATCTCGTGCTCTGATCGTCGCCTTCTGCCTTTCGTACTTCGTTCGTCACTTCATTGGTGGCACCTGACTGGCTCCCATGAAAGAATGTGGACCTGCGGCCGGCGCTGCTGCTGCTGATGCTGCTGCTGCTGCTGCTGCTGCCGCCGCTGCTGCTACTGCCCCGGCATTGATCTTTCTTCTCTGGTTGCCTTCCCTGGAGGGGACTGATTACCTTGGGGGCCTTTTGCCGTCCCGCAACCAGAAAAAATCCTAAAACCCTAAAACCCCTAAACAAGCGGTTCACTTCCCGGGCTAACCTTAACGGTCCTTGGACCTGCATCTGAACCGCGAGTGCCAAATCGCGTGCAGGCCATCCTGGCGATCACTTCCGGAGCCGGAGCAGCTGGGGGGCAGCAGCCCCTGCTGCTGGCGTTACGGTCCAGCGCCAACGTTGAGGACCTGGCGGGCATGTCGGCGGCCGGTCTGTACGACAGTGTCGTGGGCGTGCCGGCGGATGACGCGGAGGCGGTGGGCAAGGCGGTGGCGGAGGTGTGGGCGTCGCTGTACACTCGGCGCGCTGTGTTGAGCCGTAGGTAAGGAGCTCACCGCGTCGCGCGGCGGGGGCATGTTGAGGGCGCCTCACTTGAGGCGAGAGGCGGTGGGGCGCGGCTGGGAGGGTTATGACGGCGTTACGCTGTTAAAACACAGACGCAGGTGTGCGCCTGCACGGATTCAGTGTGCCACGTAACCGCTCCCACAATCGCCCACCCACGCACCCATCCGTCCTCACCCCGCTCTCAACCCCACAGCACAGCATTATGTCTACCCATCTCCTCTCCCCCACCCACCCCACTCCCACGTTGGTGCGCTTTGGCCGTCGGCAAGCATTTTTGCGCATATTTCTGATACCCCTACCCCTCATCACGAGGTCGCGGTCTTCACGGACGCCTTTCGGTCAGTTTTACGTTTGGTACACTCTTGCCCTGGCAGCAGCTTCACTCGTGTGTGGTTTGTCTTTACCCCTACCCCTACCCCGTTTTACATCTGGTACACTCTTGCCCTGGCAGCAGCTTCACTCGTTCGCGGTTCGTCCTTCCCCTACCCCGCTTCACTCGCTCGTGATTCGTCCTTTCCCCCTACCCCCGACCCAACCCCACCTCAGAGCCGCAAGGGTATCTCAGTCATCCGCTCGCATGGCGGTCCTAGCCATGGAGATGGTCGCCCCCGATCTGTCCTTCGTACTGCACACCGCTCGGCCCCGGGACGGCAACAGCGAGGTGCTGCTGGCGGAGGTGGCGCCGGGGCAGGGGGAGACGCTGGCGTCAGGTGAGGCCGCCAGGGCATCAGAGAGTGGGGGGGGGAGTGAGCGGGTGGGCCTCGCTACGGCTGCGTCGGTTGCTGGGTGAGGAAGTCCGCGCGCGTAAGGCTGAAGAACGTAACGGTTCTTGGATGAGCTATTGAATCAAGTACATTCAGCCTTTCTAGTAAATTTTTTTATTAAAAGCCAAATTTTTGGCCTTAGGTATTTTTTGTTATTGCCTTCACTTTTAAAGGCTATCAAAGATATGGAACGGGGAGACGGGGAAGGGAGCTGGCGTGAACTCTCATGGATTATATCAGAGGGATAGCGGCGGCGGTGGTGGCGGGGTTGGGGGGTTAGGGGTGGGAGTGGGGAGGTTTTGGTGGGATGGGAATCAGGTGGGGAGGCGGCCGTCGCTGGGACCTGGGTGGCGGGTGCGCCTTTGGACTGGGTGTAGGGAGGCTGGGGACGGAGGAAGGGTGGGTGGCTGTGGGGGGACAAGGGCCGGGTGTGCTAAGGCGGGTGGTGAGCTGGGAAGACGCCGTGCCGCCTTTCGGATGTGCGGTATCCGCCAGCTCGGGTGTTCCCCTTGTGTGCTACATATAGCCGCCTTGCGAGGGTGCGTTGCAAGCAATGGCCGTGCAGGGTGCGGCTGCTGACTGGGGACGGGTGTTCCACTCCGGTGTTGCCCCGGCCCCCCTGGCCAGGTACTCGGGGCACCCCCTGGCGCTTCGAGGTGGCCAAGTCCAGCGGAGCAGTCACCACCCTGGCCTTCGCCAACTTCTCCACTGCACTGGTTCTGCCGGGGAAGGGTAAGTACGGCAGGGAGAGGAGAGGGGGGTAGTGGGCTGGCGGGGATTGACGGTTGAACACACAGGGGGGAGGTGTCGCTTGCGGGTTGGTGGGTAGGTGGAGCTCGAGGGGTCCTGCACGGGGTGCGTGCAGGGCAGAGCAGGGCTGGGCTGGGCTGGGCAGGGGAGGCGCCCAGGAATGGAGGAATGGCGATATCGTGCGAGGGAGGCACGGATAAGAATGGGGAGGGGAGGCGGGTGGTGTATGAATACTGCCGCCGCCCTGCAAGATGAAGAGGGGCAAGAGGAGCAGCATCAACCAGGGGAAGGCACGCGCACATGCTTCGTTGCGATAGCCCCGGAACTATTTAAGTAAAGGTAAAGGTACAAATACTATTTAAGTAAAGGTAAAGGTAAAGTTACAAGTTGAGGTCCGCTGCTGCTGCCTGCTGACCGCCGCCGCCAGGGAAACCCGTCGCCGCCTTCGCATCGTACGGCAGCGGCGCCGCCGCGGCAGCGGCGGCGTCGACCTCCACCAGTACCCACCGGCGGAGCAGCGCCTTAGTGGAACGCGAAGTGGATTACGGTGCACAGCGCATGAGCGCCGATGGCGACTGGCGCAAGGCGACCGTACGACAGATGGCGGCTGTTGGGTCGTACATTGAGAAGGCCATGGGGGGCGTGCCGCAGGACATTGAGGGCGGTGTGGTGATACGCTCGGACGGCGGTATTTCGCTGCATATCTTTCAGACGCGGCCGCAATAGGGAGGTAAGGTAGGAGGCGACAGGGGGGGTTTGGGTACAGCCACGGCGGATAGCCGGTGGCTGACTGCCTGGCATATGTTCCCTGCTGGTGGTAGATGGCGGCTGCTCCGGATGTCCTTGAGCTGTATGGCAGTAGTACGGTTCCCAGGACGCGACGCAGCTGCCAAGGTGGTGACGGTGGTTTCGGGCTGCGGCGCTTGTTTTGCCGCCACGGTAGCGACGGCTGAGTAGTAGGTCGGTTGGTTGGTTCGAGGAAGAGCACTTCACCCAGGCGAAAAAGCGCCTATTAGCGGACGTAATGTGAGGAAAGGTCTCTAGGGCGGGAGTAGGCGTAGTTGATTCACTGGAATGTGTGCGCGCTTGTCGAAGGAAGAATCCTGCGTTCATGCATGTGTGCACGCACGTGCAGTGGAGGGGTAGGAGTGTGTATGTATGTATGTGTGTGTGTGTCGGAGGTTTAGGGTGAGGCGGAGGGGGCATTTGTTAAGGGGCCATGGGACCGCTCACCTCATGGCTCCTACAGTTTAGGAAGCGGCGGGAGGAGGACTCGGGCACTTTACATGGCGCGCGGAGAGACCCGGGAAGCCCTTTTCGCACACTGTGAAACACCAAACTCGGGAATCAAACTGTTGGGGTTATCGAAACGGTCGGTGTGTTCCGAATTTATGTGTACGCGATTGTGGCCGGTTCAACGCCTCGACCGGAACCGGCAGCGGCGAGCACTCTAACCTTGTTAAAGGTATTCGCTGTGGCATTTGCCCTTCTGTAGCACTTGCTTTATGCACATGGATACTACTTTCATGGCAGGAGCAGTCGGCCATCGGCAGTCGTACTGCTGCCGTGGACGCATGAGGTGCACATTTAGGCGATCATCTGCAGCTGTGGACATATCGATGATTCTGTTCCTTGTAATGAGTGACAAGTCGTCTGCAATGCCGTGAGAAGTGAGTCTGAATTCAGTTGACACGGTCCTCGCATTCTCGTTACGCTGTCCAGCCGTACTTTTCTACTAAGGCCACCTATAGATACGAGATCCTGACGATGTACGGCTTTCGAAGCTGCATTGTTGTGCGTATGAGGCTTATGATAGCGTTATCTTTAGATCCGGAGATTCCCGAATATATAACTTCACATTCAAGTCATAGAAAACTGGTGGGAGATCCGATTCCCGTAGTAGCGGAGAACAAGGTTGTTTTTGCCTTTGGGTAATTACTAATGATTTCAACCTCTATGTAGCAGTATCTGGAGCATAGTAGTATACCGTGACATCACGTTTGCCTGTACTTCCTTCACTGTACATTTTACAGTTGCAACGCACATACAAGAGGACATTCATCGCTCACGTCGCAAAACATTAGCCTAGTGTAATCACACCAAGCCTTGTGTGATCACACCGGATGTTGGAATGACACATGTCAGTTCAGTTTCAAGCCGCTACAGCACAGAAAAGTACACCAGTGCCATAAATGCACTTGCGGAAACCCTCTCCTCTCGACCGCAATTGCTGCGTCAAATATAGAACCAGCTGCGTTCGCGACCACACGTGCACATCTCCTTGATGACAGGACCGAGCTACAACCTAAGCTCATCCCAGAGTCCAACCATAACGTCCTCGTAGTAGGCCCCCCCGCTCCTCCGCTCTCCGACTTAATAGTCATGCAATCCACTGCGCCCTCTGCCGCTTGCACTAACGGAGTCACAACAGGTAGGGGCCTGAGGATACAAAGGTGCAGAACACATACATGCACACAAGAGAACGAAACAGGGTAAATCAAACTTGGCTGCTATACATCAACCAAAATACAGACCAGGGAAACCAAAACACGACGAGGTCAACATGTACGTTCCGCAGCTACATCCACAACTCATATCCCGAAAAAACTTTCCGAGGCACACATGCAGCACTTCTGTCCCCAACTTCAAATAGCCCTGTGGACCACTTTAAAGATTAGGTGAACACCATACGCAACGTTCCGACCCGTAAACAGAGTTACACTCTCCTCCCTGCTCACGCCAAGCTAGCTAGCTCAATGGCCGACGTCCCCCCTCCCCGTAACTGTCTGTACAACGAACAATCAAGCCCAACAAGCTCAACATGCTCCACTCTATCCGTCATTACAGCTCCATGCTAGTGGCGGCGGCGGCCATGGCGGGCTTGCGCTGCGCGTCCACGGCCTTGATGTTCTCCTCAGGGATGGTGGTGTACTCGGCCAACATGGCGCGGAACTCGTCACCCGTAAGCGTCTCCTTCTCCATCAGGACCTCAACTATGCGGTCCATAGCTTCACGGTTCTCCGAAATATGCTTCAGTGCAACCTCATAGGCCTGGTTGGCGATGGTGCGCACCTGGCGTAGCATAAAAGATTCGATGCAGAGGTGACTAGATATTGGAGGCTGTGAGGCGTGCAGTTCATTGGCATGAAGTAGTTAAGTCTGCTTGCAGGCACAAGTCCTGTCAATTTCCCCGGCGACGCGACTAAGCATTTCTACATTGTTACGCCACGCGAGTTAAGTTATCGGTTCGTGGAAACGGTCGCTTTTTACCTCATTGCACCACACATAAAGCTACGGCCCTGCGTAGTTCCCTCACCTGCCTCCACCTTCCAACCGACCCACACACCTGGTCGTCAATGCGCTGCTGCAGGTTCTCGCTCATGCTGTTGCGAGACAGCATCCGCATGATCATGTCACCTGACATGGCCGAGGGGTCCATCAGCGACCACGGCCCGATGTTCGACATGCCGTAGTTGATGACCATCTGCCGGGCCATGCCGGACACTTGCTGCAGATCACCCGCCGCGCCGCTCGTCACCTCCTCGTCGCCAAAGACGACCTCCTCCGCAGCTCGGCCACCCAGCGCACCCACGATGCGCGCAAAGATCTGGCTACGGCTGACCAGGGTGGGGTCCTCGCCGGGGATGAACCACGTGAGACCGCGGGCCTGGCCACGAGGCACCAGCGTGACCTTCTGCACGGGGTCGTGCCCAGGCTGCAGCGTGCCGCAAATAGCGTGGCCAACCTCGTGGTAGGCGACCAGCGCCTTGGCCTTACCGTCCACCAGCGGCTTGCCTTCCAGGCCCGCCACGATGCGGTCAATGGCATCATCAATTTCTTTGTTCGTGATCGCCTAGCATTCATCAGAATGGCAGCAGCGGCGCAGTTGCGAGGACAGTTGTGAGTATATAGACGGGGTGTGCTAGCTTGCACTGCAAATGAGTCGAAGAAGTCCAGGAGACCGGCAGGACAACATATCCAGCCTTTCCATCATATTTATAATTCAATCAGGAGCCAGCCCACCTACCGTGAGGCCCCGGCGACCAGCAAGGATGGCCGCCTCATTGAGCAGGTTCATCAGGTTGGCACCCGCAAAGCCCGGAGTGCGCATGGCCACCTCCGTCAGGTCCACATCCTCCGCAAGCTTCTTGTTGCGCGAGTGCACCTTGAGGATCTCCAGACGGCCCTTCTGGTCGGGCAGGTCCACAGTCACCTGCACAAGAAGTAGACACGACAAGTGGAGGACAAGGCAGAAACTGAGTGGGGGCAAGAAACGACAAATTTGAGAGTGGACCAGATAGCCCTAACGCGTTAAAAAGGAAGCTCATCACCAAAAGAATACTCCTGCACAGTTTTTTAAGGAAATAGTACAACCTTGCGCAGTCCGTATCACAAAGGACTGCTGTTGAGAGGCAAACGGGCGGTGAACGACACGTGAGCGGCAGGAGGAGAGGGAGAATGACACACCCCGTTTACCTGGCGGTCGAAGCGGCCGGGACGCAGCAGCGCAGGGTCCAGAATGTCGGCGCGGTTGGTGGCAGCAATGACAATAATTCCTGTGTTGCCCTCGAAGCCGTCCATCTCCGTCAGCATCTGGTTCAGGGTCTGCTCGCGCTCGTCGTTGGTGCCGCCGATACCGGTACCACGAGAGCGGCCGACCGCATCAATCTCATCAATGAACACCAGGCAGGGAGCGTTCTCCTTGGCCTGCGGAAGGCGGGCAAACAGACGAACACCAGCGTCAACAAATGTAATTAACTGGACCATGCAGGTAAACTGTCACAACTATATCACAGAAGCTTCATGAATTAATGCCATAATTGTTAACGTACCGCAGCCGGGCACGAGCAATGAAGCCATCCGTCTAAACATTGTCGGCCCGTGAACGCGCCCCTCCTACCCTTCATCCCTGCCGAGGGATCTTAGTCACCAGGGCAGCTCGATAAACCTCACTAAACAAGTCGCCCTCTCCCTGTTCGCACTCCGCTGCTCTCACCTTCTTGAACAGGTCGCGAACACGCGAGGCACCCACACCCACGAACATCTCCACGAACTCCGAGCCAGACACCGAGAAGAAGGGCACGCCAGCCTCGCCCGCAATGGCCTTGGCCAGCAGGGTCTTACCGGTACCCGGGGGACCCACCTGATGCGGTGACAGAGGAACAGTCAAACGGCGCAATGTCACGGGGAAGTAGTGTTCAAGCGCTCGGTTACTTCAAACGCAAGGAGCTTGTTTCAGATGTCCGGATCTTTTAACGAAACCGCCAGCAGCATCCAGTGCTTTCGTTTTCAGAACTCAAAAACCTTCTCGCAAGAGCGTCAATTTGAAGTAAAGAAAACAGCATTTCAATTGTTTCGTATGACTACTGCTACCACGTTCTCAATTTCACGTGCTCTCAGCAACGGCAGCAACGACATGCGACGATGAAAGGACGTCCATTCGAAGAACCTCCCTTCCACCTACCAGAAGACAGCCCTTCGGGATGCGAGCGCCCACAGCAGTGAAGCGCTCCGGCCGCTTCAGGAACTCCACGATCTGCAATCCAAAGAGCCAAAACCCAGTCAAAAGTGGGTGGTAAAAAAGGTGTTGCGTGCAGCATCCCCTCTGCACCATGTAAATCATATGGATACCTTCCGTTCAAAGGGATCCCTTCATACCTTTCTAAAGATCACATTCGCCACGTTAGCGTAGTTTTCCCTCAAGCACACACCTACACGCATTTTCGTGCCCAGACCCTAACCCTATTCCAGGCCGCACCCACCTCCATGAAGTCCTGCTTGGCCTCGTCCACGCCCGCCACATCCGAGAAATTAATCCCCGTGTTGGCCTCCATCTGGAAGCGAGCGCGGCTCTTGCCGAAGTTCAGCGGATTGTTCGGGTTGCCAGGGCCGCCCATTCCACCCTGGCTCTGACGCGAGAGCAGGAAAAGACCCGCGACCAGGAGCAGAGGGAAGGCCAGATTGCCTGCAGGGGCCGCCGGGCGGAAAGGAGAAATTCAAATTTGCGCTACAACCAGTATTGCATAACGCCTCTCTGTGTGCATTCATGACACAACCCTTATAGACGAATACATGATAAGCAAAGGTAGCCGCTGCGGATATAAACCTTCCACGCAGAGTCGGGCAAGCAAAATTACATTTCAGGACGCGGTTGAGCTTCCAAAAGTCAGCCACACATCCAATGGATTGCAAGAGGGTATTTAATAGAATTCTGGAGGTTATGCATCGCACGTGCCATGGTTGGCAGCCGCGCATGCTGGAACTCACGCGTCATATGCCCAGAATGCTCATATCTGCATCCGCTGAAAGGCCAACGCGTGCAGGCGTGTTCATCGCCCGATGTACCGAAACCCCTCCCCACACCCCACACGCTACCTGCCCAATCTAATCCAATATAATCCTAAGCCCTCCAATGACAAAGCCTCTGCTTACCTAGCAGGTTGAGGAACACCGCGCCACCGTCCTCAGTGTTCGCGTGGGCAGCGAAATCAATCTTCTTCTCCCGGAACTTAGCCAGCAGCTCGGGGGAAGTGCCAGGCAGCTGCACGCGCACGCGCTGAACCCGGTTGCCCAGCTCAGGTGAGACCGCTTCCACAATCGCGATCGTCCCATTCTCATATAAGTCAACCTGTAGAATTAGGGAGGCCAGAGGTCAGAGGATAACGGAATCCAGAGGAGCAATACAAGTTGTGCACACCCAGGGCAAGGGTTGAAGGGTAGGACAGGAGTTCACCCATCGCTGGCCGGCTGGCATTAAATCCTTTATTCACCTTCTTCACGCGGCCCATCTCCAGGTACTCGAGGAACCGCGAGTAGGACATGCGAGAAGAGGCCACGCCAGCTGCATCATCGGCCTTTGCCGCCAAAGCAGGCATAAAAGCTGCCGCGGCAGCAACAGCACTGCATATTATACAAGATGGCAAAGGTGTTCAGCGCGCCATGGGGATTCTCACATAGCGCAAGCAAATGTCGGATCCCTCGCCTTCCTTACTTGCGCAGCAAATTACGCTTGCTGTCCGATACAACCTCTGACTGATGCTCCTGTGATCAGATGGATACAGGGAAGTTAGCGCATTCCATAGAAAAAAGGGTACAGACGAAAGCGCAAACACTAGACTTGCCCTCACCTGCTGAGCGCGAACCACCAGCGGTGACCTTCGAATAGGCCCTGCTTTCATGAGCGAAACAGTAGGGAAACGTCAAGCGGATCTTTCCTGGCCAGACGTGTGAGACTATATGGCCCACACGACAACGCGAAGCACACACCAGCTGGCACCAGGAGCTTTGGCAGGGCTGGACGCCCCTGGCCTACGCCATGAGCAACGGCACGCTTCTGCATCAGCATCATTGCGACTTGTGGGATATAGAGGCAGCAGAGGATATCAAAGACTCTCGAAAATACTAATCACAATACGTAAATCCTCAACGTATTCACTGTACAGAGTAATCTTTGTAGCTATTCAGCAAGGTATTTGCCTCTTTATGGCGCTACGAAGACGTCACAGAGCTTTGGACGCTGAAACCACACGTTAGTTGAGGGCCTTATGCCCCTCGCGTTCCGATTGGTGGGATGCGTGTGGCCCCGATGGTTATGCGTGGAGCGTGGAGCCATGTGATAATGTTTCGGCATGCATTTGTGAAGGAATGGCACACATACATCGCGCGTTGGCTAGCATCGCGCGGGTAGAACAGGCCGTGTCAGTTGGTTTGGGCCCTCATGGTGAGGAACATGAACAGATTTTTCATGATTGTAGCTGTTGCTTTATTGAATGGCTGAAGATCACCCTCCCCTGCCTAAGAGCTTCCTGCTGACTTGCTGCTGCCACGCGAGCCTTTGTTCCAGGCCTGGATCAGCTGCTTATTGATGAAGCTAATCAAATATCAATCACAAATTCTGGGGACGCCATCCTGTCCACGTCCTCGTCTGGCGATGCCTTAGGCGCGCTCATCCTGAAGCTCGTCGCGGTAAGAATCACGTCAATGGCTCTGCTTTTACTGAACAGGATGCCTTACTTGTCCAAACTGAAAAGCCAGAAGGGGCTAGGATGCAGTGGAGCAAGGAGTCAGAGGACGTCGTGACCACTTATGTCACACCACCTGCAGCAGGGGCGGAGGTCATCCAATCAGCTTTGCAATAGCTGTCCACGGAGCACGAACACTGCAGCGCCCCCAGCCCTCCACAACCCTTTGTGGTATCATCGGGGTTCGCCTCCCTTCAAAATGTCCCCGCATATGCAGACCCCAAATTGCTGAAGCAGACCAGCTAGCCAGTACTAATCCACGAGACCCTTCCTGAAGAAACCGCCCCCACCCGTGTGTGTGTATATGTGCGCGCGCTTATTGTCCAAACCATGAAGTAAGATGCACAGCATGCTGGTACCTAAGGTAACGCATTACAGCGAGGCCTGGTGCGGACTCGGCCAGATCGGGTCCCACCCGCCAGTTGGGCGAACTGATAGACCCCATGTCCTCTGACAACACCCCTACACATACACGGGGGCGGCCCCTCCTGGGTTTCGTGATCTCCGATCTCCCACCCCACCCCCCCAAAACATTTCCCCAGGATAGCTGCTCTTCCCTAGGCGATGCCTCCAAGCGGGTGCTACTCATGGTACTGGCGGGGCTGAGGCAGGTGCGGGGCCTGACACGTGTATGTACGTATGTATGCATGTATGTATGTGTGTGGTGACTTGGCATTTGGTTAGTGGGTGACTAGGGAGTCATCAGATGGCACGTATGGGGCACGAGGTGTATGTGTGTGTGTGTGTGTGCGTGTATTGAAAGAACTCAGTCGCGAGAAGGAAGCGTGGGAGATGTCACCTGGGACATGTGTGCGTATCTGTGGGGCCCGGAGGAGGGGAGGGGGGGGGAGGTGCGTAACAAACCCTGTCTTGTGTACTGGAGGAGATGAGCTTCCACGTGTTGTACATGGCGACGTCCTGAATGTGGTGCATGCCTGCGCGCATCTGTGCGTTCAGGCTGCGGGTCAACGTGGTGGGCGGGGGCCTGGGGTCGCCCTTGATGACATGCGGGTCATGGTGTGGCGCCGCTGCGTATGTAGTATGTCCGTATGTGCACCTGTCGCGGCGGGTGGGGCCCGAAGTGGTCGAACATGACCTCCTAACTCTTTGCAGCCACCGACGGTAGTCTGCATTCAGCAGCACCAGCGGGCGGGTGGGCCTCGAGTGCGTCGGCCCCCCACTGCCCCACTGCCCCCGTGTGTGGATACACACTCCCACTCCCCCGCCAGTGCTGCTGGCCGACGGACTGAACCGCCCCCCCCTACGTGGGCCTACGTACCCACGCCGCGCCAACACTCACCCCTCGCCAGCGGGCAGTCGGCAGTTAACCACTCCCGGACTCCACCCCCCTCCCGCCTTGCAGTACCTTGGCTCCGGACTGCACCCGCACACCTTCCAGCATGATCTAGCAGCGCAGGTGCGAAACTGTGCCGTACCGTGCGTACGGCTTGTGTACGGATGCCGTACAGGGCTTTTGGGGTTACGGACATAGTCAGTGGTGCATCGAAGGGTTTCAAACGCCCGCTAATGGCTTTGGATACGTGTCTGATGCACCTCCTTGTTGTGTGTGTATATGTGTATTTGTGTGTGTGAACGTTACAAGTATCTGACCGGGCCTGACACTGGCCAGGGGCTGCTGCCCAGCCCCAACGGAAAGACCGCCTAAGCTCTCTCCCGCGGACGGGAGAGGGGGGCACGAGGGGCCTCTGTTCCCTCCTAAGCAGCCGAGAGCCGCAGGTCCGCTAGCTCCGCTCTCCTCCCCCGGGGGAGGTGTGTGTATTTGTGTATATGTGTGTGATGGGCCTCGGAGTGAGAATGCAGGTGTCCGCACCGCCCACTGCTACCACAGGTACTCCAGTGTGTGGTGCCCAGTGCCGTACTTCACGTGCCATTGCCTCCAGGGGGCCCACAGCAGGGAGATATGGCCGTCGAGGTGCGAGGAGGGCCAGGTGGTGGGGCTCGACCCCGGGGAATGAGGGCAGCGTTGTACGAGTTGAGCCGAACCTGGTGGGCGCGGACGGGGGGGAGGGGGTCTTTCCCAACCCCACCTGCCCCGGGGTCGAGGTTGGGGAGGGGTGGGAAAGGGGTCCAGGGAGGGAGGGGGTCTAAGCAACAAGCAAGGGAATGATTACCGGCGTGGTGTTGTAGATTGGAGGGAGGGAGGAATACCTAAGGAGCAGCATGCTCAGACAAATGACCGGTAGGGAAGGGGGGGAGAGGGGCGAGGCGGGACGATGGGCCAGGATTAACCATTAACCCCCCGGTTACGTGCACGTGTCTATTTGTCCGGACAGTGTGGGGCCCAACGAACCCGGAATAAAACATACATCTGAATGTACCCCCCCCCGCGCTATTCCTCGCCCCCGGGCCCTGCAGGCCCTCCACGCGCTCATCCACACGCACCTATGTGGCAAGGCGGGTGGCCAGGCGGCTGAGCAGCACCTGGCGGGTTGCCTGCAGGTCGGGGGAGGGGGGAGATGTGGAGGGGGTTCAGGGTGCAGGGTGTGTGTGGCGGTGTGGGCTTCCACGTGACAGTGATGTGCGGCGGCTCTGCTCTGCGCACCCCGTGAAACCACGCGCGCCACATCGGCTGTAGCCAACCAACCTGCCTTGCATGCACTACCCCGCCGCCTGGCAGACAAGAGACAGACGTGCGTACGTACGTACACATTCCATCAAAGACCAGCACCTAAGCTCATTTCGAGGTGACCGGATACCACCACCACAATCACGCATTCTTCACAGCCACCCTTTCTCTCCCTCCTTCACTCCCCACCCCACTACCCTTCCTAGGAGTTGGTGGTCTTGCAGCTGAGGGCTGCGGCTGCGGCTGGGCTCAGTGCAAGCGAGGTATACGAGGGGAGGGGAGAGGAGGAACTCGCACGGACAGGGGCAGGGCCTGCTCCACCGCCCACCGCCCAGAAAAACCCCTCCTGACCGCCATGTCCCCGTCTGCCCACGCAGGCTCTGTCCTCCTTGCGTGACTTCCCCCCCTTGGCCCGACTACCCGGATACCCCCCCGGGCAGTCCCGGGTGCTGAGGGGTGTGGTGCTCCAGGAGGGGCCCCTGGTGGGGCTCGGGGCAGCGGGGCTGCTGCTAAGGCAGGTAGGCGAGGAGGGGGGTTTGCGGAGGGGGAGGGAGGAAAGGAGGGGAAGGGGGAGGGAGGGAATGTTATGTCACAGGGTAGCACTATCAAGGAGGGAAAACCACTGCCCGTACTGCCGTACATGAAAGATGGGAAGGATTGCTGGAGGAGTCCAAAGCCGTCATGGCGACGAAACTGCTTTTTCCGGTGAACTTCAATACCGATACTTTTGGCCATGTTGTGTACCGTGACACGTCGTCCTCACCGTGAGGGGCAGGGGAGGGAGCGAGGGGGTGTCTATCGAACAAAGTCATGTGTGCGGGTGTGTGTGCAGGGCCGGGGAGGGCTCCCGGGACAGCGATGGTGGTGGTGCACCGGCTATGGCAGTGGGGGGACCACGGGGATACTGGCGGACAGCAGGAGGGCGGGCGAGTGGAGGGAATGTTTGGGAGGAGGAATGTACGGATGGCGCCCCCCGGGGTGCGGCCCCTGTGAGGTACCCGCTTCTCGGTGTAGAGACCTCATCAGCGCCTAGCTGCAGCAGCCCCGCAGGGATTTTCCACTCCGCAACCCCCCGCCAGTACCAGTACCAGCATCAGCAGCCCCGCTCTCTCCCCGCAGCAAGGAAGCCTTCCTCGGCACACACATTGCCTTGGCCTTGACTGAACTCGCCTTGCGTGGTGTCTGCGTGCGTGTGTGTATTTCCCCGGCCCTTCCCCGCGTGTCTTTCCGCGTCCCCAACCCACCTGGCTTATATCCACACGCACCTCCTCACGGCCGCGGTCCCCCAGCCCCGCCTTCCTGGCGCTGTCCTGCCCCCTGGACGGAGAGGACATCACCTGCGTGTCAGCCGGGGGGGGCGTCACGGCAGGCATTAGTGCGGTTGCCGCGGCCGCGGCTGGTGGCACCGGTGTGCCCTGCACGGGCCCGGCAGCGGCCATCCGAGTGTCTTCTGAGGCGGCACGTCGTGAGGCCGAGGAGGCGATTGTGGAGCTGCTGCGGCAGCGCGTGGCACTCCTGGCTGACCGGGGTGTGCAGCTGCTGCTGCTGTGTGGCCGGGTGAGTGCTGCGGTATGCGGAACGGTCCACCCCTGCAACATCCTTATCGCTCGGCGTCCACATACCCCTTCCCGCGTCCCCTTCCTTTCCCTGCTGGGGTCGGTCCTCCTACCATCCTACCTTTCCACTTTCTACCGTTCAGCCAACCAAAACCACGGCCCACGTCCGTTACCCGCGTTTGCCGGGTGCCCACCCCGGGTCCCCCCTGGAGCGCTTACTTACCGCTGATGCCGCCACCGGGTGAGGCAGTGCGAGGCCCCTTCGAGACCTTTAGCCCCTGCTGAGAACTTCCCACATCTCGTCCCTGGGGCCGGGTGGGAAAGGGGACTGCTCGTCACTGTGCCCTCCACCCAACCCCGGGATCGCCTACCCCTCCCCACCACAATCGCAGCCGCCGCCCGTAGCGGTGCAGCTCTGCCACCAGTACGGCATTTGTCTCGTGGCGGGGCTGGACGAGGGGGATGTGGCGCGCGCGTGTGCCGCCGGGGGGGGTGCGGCGCCGCTGACGCGAGCTGGGCTGTCGGTGCTGTCGGCGGCTCCGCTGGGCCGGGCGGCGGCTGCCCGGGTGGTGGGACTCGGACCCCGGCGGCGGGCTGTGCTGCTGGAGTTTAGTGAGGAGCAGTGGCGGGCTGCGGGCCAGGTGTGTGCTCGGGGCCGTGTTGCTGATCGCCGGGCTGCTTCAGTGGCTGGGGCTGGTTGTGAGTGTATGTGTATGTATGTTTGTGTGTGTTGAGTGATGTGTCGTGATCCCTACTTGCAAGCATGCGCTCGCGCTCTCTTATCAGTCCACACATTCCACTCCTCCGCGAACTGCCCTCACAGGCCGCCTGCACCTTGCTGCTGTGTGGCGTCACCGAGGTGTCGGTACGGCAATCAGTGCGCGCTGTACGGCGCTGCTTGATTTCCATTACCGCTGCAATTGGCACCATGGCAAGACACGGCGAGGAAGATGGTGGTGGTGCCGCTGCAGGAGGCGGCGGTGCTGCGACACGTCCCTGCGGCGGCGGAGGCGATGGCGATGGTGATGGTGCTGGCGGTCGCGGTGGTGAGGGGGCCCCCGGTGGTGGCGAATGTTTGGTGTTTGTTGCGGGCGGTGGCGGCTTCGAGGGCCTTTTGGATCTCCAGCTGCGGGAGCTATCCGACGTGGCCAGGAGAGGGTTGACCTCCGCTGGGGCGCACGAGGTGTGGGACCAGCAGGAGGAGGAGGAAGAGGAGGAGGGGGGGGAGGGGGAGGCGCCAGAAGAAGAAGGAAAAGGAGAGGATGCTTCAGCGGCTGCGGAGGAGGGCGATGCGGGGGAGGCTGCAGCAGCGGAGGCGAAACTGGCCAGTGAGGTGAGCTGCGCTAAACAAAGCCGCTGCGGGCGCCGTCCCAGCTGCTGCAGCTGTTGTCACTCTGCCTCCGTCCCCTTATCCAGGTTTCCCCCTCTCCTCCTATCCTTTGCTTGACCCAGTTACAAATCCTCTTTATCTCCCTCCTTCCCCCCCTGCAGCTGTTGGCCTCGTTGAAGGTACTTCAAGCCATGGCGGCAGCTGTGTCCGTAGCCTTGACGGGACCCGCCACCGGTGGAGGGGAAAAAGGTGGGAGCGGATCTCGGCGGCGAGCTCAGCGAGAAGCCCTGCTGCAGGTGAGTGACAGGTGGCAAGGTTATGTTCCGTGGGGTGCCTGCTGGGTGAGGTAACCGGGCGGAAGGGCGAAGCTGCGGCTGCTGCTGCTGGAGGGAAGTGGCCTCCCCGGTTGCAGTACTGCCGGCTGACAGCACACAGCTTGCACACCCATGGACGACAGCTCCTCGTCCTTCACATCTGACACATCATCCCTCCGCCATCTTGGGTCCGTTTTTCCCACACTGAATCTGGGGCTTCTTGTTTTCCTTGCCAACCACCATCAGCCACGGTCCGCGTGCTCTTGGGAAATCACCCTTTCCTGGCTTCCTGACATTCACCCCCGCTGCAGGTCCACGCATTGCGGCAATGTCAGACTGCGGCGCTGCAGCAGGGGCCGCTGGTCTGCTGCGGCCTGGTGGTGCCCTCGGCGGCCTTCTCCTTTCACGGAAGAGCGCTTCGGGGCATCGGCTCCGAAGGTCCAGCAGCAGCCGCCGCAGCAGCTCCGCAGGCTCCCGGGATTGGCGAGGAAGGGCAAGAAGGCGGCATCCATTGCAGGATGACGTTCGTACGCGCGAGACCAGTCCTTGGTGGGCACAGCTTTACCATGGTACCTAGTGCAGCAGCATACGGAGTGGTGGAGCCCGCGGCGGTGGTGGCGAGCGCCTGGAGCCATGCTGTTGACATTGTACGGCAGGTGAATGACAGGGATTGACATGGCCGAACAACTATGCGGCGGCCGCACAGCAGAATTGATGTTGTTGCGTTGGCCTCGTCATCCTGGAGAGTCCGGTGCTGGTTAGCAACCAGATGCATGCGCCGCATGCTTAGTGAAAAGTGCACCCTTCCCACCTGCATCGGTCAGCAACCCCGGTATCACCTCCTCTTTCCCCCCCCCCCGCCCCCGGAACTGCAGGTGGTGCGCATCGATGGGGGCCCAGTGGCGGCGGTCTCCCGTCAGAGTCGGCAGGCAGGCGGTGATAAACGGCTGGGCCCCGTGGTGGCGGTGGCTGGACCAGGCCCAGTGAGAGTCCCTCGCACGCGTCGCGGAAACCGCCACCCAGGCCGGGGGGCTTCAAGTAGCGGGGGCAGCAGCAGCGCTGCTGTGGACGATAGTGAGAGTAGCTAGGCATCGGTGTGGCTCTGTTGCAACTCGCGGCGAGGTATAATCGGAGCGGACAGCCAGGAGGAGTCGAAGTGGCTGGAGTACCGTCCATACACCTTTCCCCCCTTTCGCATCCAATTTAAGTACCCTTCCCTCTTGGCATTCTCTTTCAAGGTCCCTTGCAAAAGGAAAGGTCTGGAAGAGGGGGTGTGTCTTACTAGGAGAAGACCAGGGTATGGTGTGCAGTTTGTGCCTGCTGATGGCCGGGTTTGAAGCATTTATTGGTACTGATTGGTACTGGATATGTCCATTCCTGAAGAACAGGCCAACTGCTTGGGAAAGGGCACACGGTAGTACATTTGTGCACGTTGCGTGTAAATGCCAAAAACACAGACCCCGCGACCAGTTTCGTACTGTGTTCGCACGTGCACGTAGACTTACTGCTATAGGTGAACTCCTTGCACCGACTGGTGATGTGCGGCGCCATTGGACCGTGCAAAAGGCAAACATGAAGTGTTTCTTGAAGTGCAGGCGTCACACTCGTTGTGTACTGGCACGCTTGGGCTGTGGTTATTGCCTTCCCCAGCTGTGCTGAGATTTCCTTCTCAGCAGGTGTCCGGATAACATCTGAACTGTACTCAAACTCAAAGTCGAGTTATCCATGACGCAACGAAATCGCGCGATGAATGTTTTAGGGTGTAAAAAGCAGTTGACCGTCAAACGGTAAGACGTAGCAAAAGTCAGGCCTTAACTTCTGCCAGCCACCTACCGTATAAATGCATGTACATATCTGTCTCACGTTTATACTAATCCTAATCTGGGCTCATTAGGCGAATCGTAGTCACCTTCAAGAAAGGCTAGCTTACACGTGGTGGCGCGCGTCCTCCTCCCCCAGGCCCTGACCTGCTCGGCTAGCGGCCTGGAGCCCGACAGGACACCGGGACTACCGGCACTCAGTACCCTGTGACAATCGCGCACTGACACACAGCCAGTTTAGGCCCTTCCTTTCCGTCTTGCTTCCGTCATCCTACATAGCGGCAATCTTATCCAGTCCGTTTCGCAGTCAGTTTCGGTTCCCCTTTTGGGTAACCTTTTCCCCCCCTTTGGTTTCCAAAGCTAAAACAACCCTTTTCAAAACTTCCGACATAAGCCCCTAATACAAAAGTTAGTCAAGCACTTGGCCCACCAATTAGCATGCGGCTGCCGGCCTGGAATGTCATCGTCGCCGCGGCTGCCGTTGGCTGTATCCATTCGCTTGTCCAGACCTACCCCCTGGCATTATTGCTCCCTTCCCTGCGCCCTGTTGCACGTAAAAGTGAGCAGGTGTTCGCTTTCACATCCGGAATCACGAATGCTATGGGCGGATGCCGGACGCATTGCGGCCGCTGGAACCGGCGGGGAACTGCCGACCAAGTCAATTCGCAGGCAAGATGCGTCCCAGCGGAGCACCAGCTTTCACACGTGATTAACTTCACGTGCCCCCCTCCGACGTACGATGTGACTCTGCATGTCTTGCCAATTCGCAGCAGTTTCAAGCCCTCCCAGCGCAGTTTGCCGTCCGTCCACCCTCAGCCTGGCCGTTTCATTGCTAATAATGCCCTGCGACGTTGATCCCCCCACTCTCCCGATAGATAGATAGATAGATAGATAGATAGATAGATAGATAGATAGATAGATAGATAGATAGGTAGATAGACAGATAGATAAGAAAGGAAAGGGAAAGAAAGAAAGTTAGATAGAAAGATAACCAACTCCGGTCCCACACCTCCCGTCCGCCTTTCGTACCTTCTCCCATCCGCTGTGCCCTCCTACGGCACTTCTCCAGCCACTCGGTCATGAACTCCGACCGCTCCACCTCGTTCCGACGGAGCAGCTCCGCGACCTACGTTGCGTGTGTCTGGTGCGTGGGGTCATGTACTTCAGCATACACATAACCGCTGCAAGATGCAGTAAGAGTCGAGGCCGCATTACAGGCCTGGGTTTCCACAGATCGCCCCACACAGCCCCGCAAGCGGACAGGCCAGTACACGGCAACCCAGGCACAGGACTGAATACAGCCGAGGGATTCGGCGACGGCGGGGCAAAGACGCGAAAGAACGGGGCAAGGTGCGCTGCGAAGTGTAGAATGTCAGCTGCTGCGTCACACGCCGTACCGCTGCTACTGCCGCATGTTAGGTGTCCCGGATCCCGTTACCGTGCGGCCGCTAACATGCGCTGCTGCTGCTACACCCTTTGTGAGCTTTTCCGTTTCCTCGGGCCCAGCGCCCCACCGCACCGCACACAGGGGTCCCACCGCCACCTACATCGTCAACCAGCCAGCCGCCGAGCTTCTTCCGCCGCAAAGGCACCTCGGCAAGCGGGTAGAGCTCCTTTGTCTGGATGTTGTACAGCCGGCGGATGACAAAGCCCGGCAGCAGTGCGGCAGTGCCTCCTCCGCCTCCTCCTGTTCCACGGCCCGCCTCCTCCGCTGCCCCTGCCGCCTCGCCCGGTAGCGTCACCGGATCTAACGACATGGTGGGAAGCAGCCAGACCTGCACTGACATCGCACGGCATTTCCCCCACCCCCCAGGGTGGAGCATGTATAGTAGTGGTAGGAGGTCATGCGGTGCGCATGGCTGCGTGATCGCGGGTTGCATCCAGGGTCCACTTTAACGGCGAAATGGTGAGATCTAGCCTGTTGAGGAGGGACTGCTGCTGCGGCAGTGCAGGAACTACTGCTCTGGGTCCATGCGGTGGTAGAGGTAGGACCCCCCCTACCCCCACCACCCCCACCATGTCATTGGGGCGGCCCCCCAGGTCAGATTCGATCCGGCTCGAGGAGGCGTGGCATCGCCACGCGATTCGACCAATTCCTAAACAGCTAAAACTGTTTAGCTGTTCCGTGCCTCTGCCCACACGCACCTGGATCGGGTGCATGACGGACCGAATGGATATCTGGTCCAGATGGTTCGACAGGAACAGCTGGCAGGGAGGCGGCAGGGAGGCGGGCAGCGACGGCGAACAAGGCCGCGAAAGAGGGGGACAGGAGGCACTATGAGCGACACCGAGGGGAAAAGGCAAAAGAGTCCCCTAAAACCCTAAGGCAGTGTTCGTCCCCCCTCGTAAACCCGCTCCCGTGTGGATCAGATCAGATCTGCCTGCTCCGCAGGTGTGCCCCCCACCCCAACCCCCACCCCCCAACCCCAACCCCAACCCCAAGGGCCGCCAGCCCCGCGTTCCCTCTTTCGCACACCTTGCAGTCCCCCAGTCCTCCATCCCGGGGGTTGCCCCTTTGAACCTCACCTCCTTGAACCGGCCCGTGTCGCCTCCGCGGGGCTGACCCTTCAATTGGGCCCTACACACGACCGTCTCGGGCGGCGGTGTCGACAGATCGGAGGTACGGTAGAACCAGCAGATCTCCACCTGCAGGTCCCTGGCGGTCTGGAACAGCTGCGGAAAGAGAGGACACACAGGGGCACAGGAAGAAGGGAGGGAAGGGGGGTACGAAACACCAGATGCACACGAGGACGTGTGTGTGTGTGTGTGTGTGTGTGCGCGGTCATTTGGTCATTGACAGGTCGCTGGCGGCGGAGTGCTAAGACCTCGGCTGCGAGTGTGCGGGAGAATATTGTGAGAGAAGTGTGAGCGGAACACGTCATCTAAGCCTAACAGCACTCCAGCGAGGCGCGATGCGGTCGGCAAGGGCGCACGCAAGGCCCCTCAGCAGCCGCAGCTGCATGCAGCCCCGAATGACTCACATCGCGGACGTAGCCCAGGTACTTGTGTTCGTCCTCCCCGCCTGTACGACAGGACCAGGACCGAGGCAGGTATACGTGAAGAGGGCGAGAGGGTTGCAGAGACGACGACTAGCCAGGGGGGGGCTGAGGAGCTGTCCACAGGTAGATGAGAGTCAAGCACGCCTCCAGGGGGGGTGGGACCAGGGGCACCTCCCCCACATCCAACTCTTAAGGCACGGAGTTAAGGGCCCTCTAATAAATTGAAGTGCGGGAGAGGGGTCCCTCACCAGCCCCTAGGTGTTATGAGGAGCTACCGCGTAGGGCCCTATGCGGGGTATACGTTTGTACGGTGCCGCGGCTGCTGCTCGCAGGGGACGTCCGCCGTCGTGCGATGGCACTATGGAGGCCGACACTGAGGTTGTATCTCGTGTTGTGGATAGCGGCCGGTCGGGCAGCAGGAGGTGATTCAAATTTTCAAGTGGTAGGAAATGCACCCCGGGTGATGTGCCAACAGCGACATCAGATTTTAAACCGTATGTATGATGTGTGGGACAGGGGGCCATATCTTCACCCGTGGCCGCTACGCGGCGAAACCCTGCCTTCCCCGGTATTTCGGGGCACCCTCATCTAGTCACCCTAGTCAACTTCTCAGTGGATCGCTTAGGTTCCGCACTCACCACCAGCATCCAACGGAATTTGCCGGATCGACGGCGGCCCAACTCCCTATCTTGTTGGCTCGCGAATGTGTGTATGTATGTATGTATGTATGTATGTATGTATGTATGTATGTATGTATGTATGTATGTATGTATGTATGTATGCATGTATGTGCGTGTATACGCAGTTCTGTCATCCAGTGCTTCCAGAGGGCGGTATCGGCGCACTGGAAACATCGTATTGATGTGTGGTGTATCGACTGGTAGTTATTTGGCAGTTGGTGCGCTGCGTACCTTGGACCAGTACCGTAGAGTAGCGGCGTACAAAGATGTCACGGTTGGCGTCCACGTATGCGTTGTTAAGTCGGACACCCTTCACCATCCGAGGAAACGAGTGTGGGACGTGCGAGCAAACATTATCGGGTTGCCCAGGCCGGGGGGCAGCGCACACGGTGGACACGGACAAAGGTTTTGTCAATGTGGATGTGATGATACCGGGAGAGTAGAGGAAAGGGGGAAGGGATTGCACGGAGAAGTTAGGAAAGCAAAGCCTCGCCGGCCACCCGCGAATAAGCTGATGGAACCGTGTTTGCATGCTAGTTACCTCACGATGCATTTGGAGTAAGAGGTAATAAGAGGGAAAGCACGGCTTGATGCTTAGATTGGGCCAGGTGAAGTAGTCACACGTAGCAAGAAAACTGTCGTCGGCTGTCCCGAGACAACAACACCGTAGCAAGCCACCGCTTCCTCCATACCGTTATGTCTCCCGAGGATGGGTCCCGCTCTATGTCTAATTCATCAGTAAAATCTTCGCTGTCGTCCTCATCTTCACCCTCGTTATCATCCTCGTTGTCAGAGTCGTCCACCATGATGGGCTCCTTGGCCTTTCCCATATTAGAAACTATATTCGTCTTATTACGTACAACCAGGCGCTGTCGGCTCAGTCTCTTGGTCAGGACTAACGCACCGTTATCGTAAATCAAATATAGTGCGAAGGCCACCAAATGCAGCGGATACCCCAAAATTTGCGTAAGCGAACGAGGTAACCGTGTCTAGTTTCGGCTGCCGCTGCGGGCTGACTCGGTATGGAATGACTATCACTACGAATGGCATACTTGGCGGTCCTTCCATCCGCGATTTGCCAATTTCAAGCATTCCATGAACCGACTAGCCGTTATCTGATCCTTAAGTAAGTTATGATTCTGTGGGATGGTACACGGACTTGTGATTGACTGACGCCAAGCGACCCGAAGGGTCGGCAGAATCGGAAGGAGGGTAAAACGGCCTCAGCGAAATGATTTCTTTTAGATTTGTACATACCAACATAAGGAATGAAACGGGATGAGTGGCTTGCCTTAGGCTTGGACGTTCACTGAGAGCCTTCTGTCTGTCCCTAGCTGCGAGCCTGGCCAATGTTTTGCTTCTCGGCTAGTTAACAAGGCTTCCACCCAGCTGATCTACAGGAAGAGCTCCCCCGGATATTAAACTTGCACGATATACTTCAATTGATTGTTATGCGCTGGCCGGCACCGGCCTGAACTATGTGGCTTAGCGCCATCTGGCGCCCACTCTCCCTCCTCCATGGAGCAGTGGGACATAGTTACAGTGCATTGTGAAGCGAGAGGTTTAGACTTTGCTACTCCCGTTCCTCGTAGCCTGTATGTGCTTCAAGAGCGATTGCATGGTACGCTGAATGGGCTGGCTGACGTTGCTTCCTTTACAAGCCAGGCGCAGAATTTTACAACATCGCTCGGGGTCTAAAGTCCATGTCGCATTACAAACCATGGCCCCAGCCTCGTAGCCAACACATCCTCATCGGGATTCTCCCTTTCCAAAACCCTACTGGCCTAGACGCACGCAGCGCGTTGCTGCTTCAAAAGCCAAGAATTAAATAATAACGAAGGCAACGGCGCCTTAGAAGACGCTGTTAGCAGAAAACTCAGCTGCAAAGGCGCCGACGCCCTCGCTCACAGGGCCCTCCACACCGTCGTCGTCGTCGTCGTCCAGGCCGCGCACCTCGAAGCCCTCCAGGGAGGACAGATTATCGTCCAGCGTCTGAGCCGCACGTGAAGAGCCGCACCGCCGATACAGCAAAAACCCATCGTACCGCACAGCACCACAGCACAGGAAGGAGCGCCCCACCGAGTGGCAGCACGGCATATCAAGGGCAATAACATACGGTGAATGGATCAATGACTAGCTTAGCTAAGCTTACAGCATCACCTAGCCAAACCTTCGGTTATAGCATGGTAAGCAACTGCACACGAAAAACCTAGTTTTAGCATGGGTCAGCAAGCGCATGGTCACAGCGCTTGGCCGCTGCCAGTGCCCTAGTAGCGGTTGGGGTGTTATCAAGAAGGCAGGGTGGCTTGATCCCATGTACGGCCGGACACGGACATCATGAACAACTCTTACCAGGACGGTGCTGAGCGCCCTCATGCTGGGTCCCCCCAGCCCAGGTACCTCCATGCTGAGAGCACTCGCCTCGGACCTCGCGATGGACGTGCCGCGCACCAGCTCTGAACGCAGGGGTGTACGCGATGAAGGAGGGTTCGGAATAAGGAAGCGAGGGGCACAGAGCGGCAGCAAAGGACCAAACCGCATGAAAGGCGTACAGATGAAAGGAAAACTAGTTTGCCACACCTGACACCTGACGCACGCACGCCACTGGTCTGCACAACCATCCACACCATGTTTCTGCTGAAGATCAAGTTAGCGGGTCCACCCCACCAGACCCCACCCGCCTTCCACAGTACTGCTGCTGCCCATATTACCCGCCCTCCCCGCGCGCTGCACGGTGCTCGCATGCAATCTTACCGCGCCGGCTCACGCTGCTCTGCCGGGACAAGTGCCCGGTGCCGCCCTCGTGACTCCGCCGCCCTCGCCGGTGCAACGTGGAGAGCTCCGGAGCCACCGTATCGTACTCCTCGCCCGCCACAATATCGCTGGTGCTGTCCTCCACGTGCGCCGCAAGGCCGCCACTTGCGCCGGCGCCTGGGGGACTGCTAGCCTCCATGCTCATGCCGCCAACGCCGCCAGTGGTGCCGAGGAACCGCACCTCCCCGCTGTATCGGCTGGAGTGGGAGTTGCGGGAGAGACGGCGCTCCAGTGGCGGAGGGTGCTGCTGCTGCTGCTGTTGCCGCTGAGCGGCGAGTGCACGTTCGCGTTGCTCCTACGTGAGGGTAGAGGGGGCAGCTAGACGGTCAGGTGAAGCACGTACGTAGGTGCAGCAGACAGGGGCAGCGGAGATAGGATGCAGAACGGGATCACCGCAGCGACATGGAAGGGGGTTTGCGCATGGGAGCTCGCAGATGCATGGAGGCAGTGTCGGTGCACGTCTGACTTCCAAGGGTTTCAGTGCGCATACCTGCAGCATGCGCATCTTGGCTTGCATTACGTTCGCTAGGTCCAGTGGCTCAGAGTGCGAGTCCAGCTCCTCTGATCGCCCCTCCGGAGGCGGGGGTTGCGGAGGCTCCGGCGAGCTCCGCGGCGCAAAGCCACTGACGATGACCAGACCGGGAATGGTCGGTTTGCGCGGCTCGGCCGCTGGCGGGTGTGCCTCCGCCGCAGGGGAAGCAGGGGCGCGCGTCCCGAGATCAGAGGTGAAGACGAGGCCTGGCGGGGCTACCAGCGCAGGCGAGGCAAGGGGTGCGAGGGGGGCCGGGTCTGCGGGTAGTGCGAGCGGCAGGGGTGACCCCATTCCCGCCGGTGGCGGCGGCGGCGGTGGTGGGGCCAACGGCTCTGCGGGGACATGCGGTTGTGCCCCGAGCGGCATGCCGCCGGCGACTTGGGAGAGGTAAGGGAGCTCCTGCGGGGGTTGCTGTTGCGGTGGCGGCGCTGCAACACCGTGGCCAGTGGAACGTGTAGAAATGTGGGCCGGGTGTTCCTGCTGCTGCTGCTGCGGTGGCTGCGACACAGGCTGTATGGTGGATGAGGAATGGGATGTCGGTCCTGAGGGCTCTGCCACCGGTACCACGGCTGCTGCCGCTGAGCCGTCGTGTGGGGTGTGCTGGCGAGGAAGCTGTTGCTGCTGGGCGGTTTCAAATTCAGGGCCGCCGTAATGGTACTCGGCCGAATCTTGATATTGTTGCTGCTGCTGCTCCTGCGCCTGCATACGGGACGGGGAGTATTGTGCAGGTTGTTGTTGTTGTTGTTGTTGTTGTTGTTGTTGTTGTCGTTGCTGTTGTTGTTGCTGCTGCTGCTGATTCTGCAGTAGCACCTGTTGGTGATGTTCGTGCTGCTGGAAGGGCGACGGCCTCGAGAAATAATATTGCAGCTGTTGTTGTTGCTGCTGACGGATGATTTGTTGATCTCGGTGGTACGCAAAAGCTCGCTCCTCCTCGTCCGCCTGCTCCTGAGCCTCAGCTGCGGACTGTTGCTGTTGTTGCGGGGGAGGCTGTAGATGCGCAGCAGGCCCTGGGGTGCTGTGCATGACGTATGTCATGTACGGCGGTGGAGAATCGTTCGAAACAGCCGGGAACCGTTCCGCCCATTGCTGCTGCTGCTGCATGGAGGCGTCCGGCTGGATTGGGGCCGGGCCTCCCGCCTGGCCGGAACCTGCGCTTGTCACGGCAAGACTCCGACTGCGCACCTCCTGTATGAGGGTGAAACGGTTGTGAAAGCGGTCCAGAAAACTTCATGCTTTGTTAGCCACTGCGATAAACCAAAGGCGACGCACAATTGCCTGCCTGCAGCGGAATGAGCCATCCTGCTTGTTCCCTCGGCACACTCCACATCTCGCATCTTTCTATGTGGCTTGCCGTTTAGGGACCCGGAGCAGCTGTCACCAGGTAATCCTCTATAGCCCCACCACATCGACAAGCCCTATGAGATAATAATCACGACCTCCGTCCATCCATTCCCTCTTCTCCAGCTCCCTTTCCGGCCCTCCCTCTCTTCCTCCCTCCCACCTGCAGGACGGCCATTCGCTTACGGAAGGTGTCCTCCTGCCTAGCCATGATGTCCTCCTGACGGCGGAGCCGCTCCAACCTGCAAGCGGAGGCCAGGTCGGCCGGGTGGTCGGGTGGGAGCCGGGGCAGGGCAGCTCGGTGCCATGCTGGGTGGGATCAAGAAGCGTCCCCGATGGAGCTGCTTCCATGCGGCGGACCTGCGAGTGGCACCGTGTAAGCAGCGAGATCCGACACCCCTCCTTCCCGTTCCATATCGGTCGGTCTTCGGATGGAGCCGGGCATGATGTAGAGGCAGGTATTGGTGCCGTACAAGTGCCAGCCCGCTACTGTACAGGTAAACGCAGGGCACGCAGCCTCTGACACTCAAGGGCTAATCTGGCCGACCCCGACCCCGACCACTTGATTCTTCGCGGACTGCACAACTCCGAGCCCGAATCCGACCAGTTCGTCACTGGCTACTCGTCGCCCGAGTCGACTGCTAAAACGCCCTTCACAACACCCGATCTAGACCAAGATACCGAGCACCGACCGCTCCTGGGTGGGGTCCCGGGGCACCGCCGCGATCGGGAACTCCAGATTGGACAGCGCAGGTGTACCGCCCGCCATCGAGCCGGAGGCGCTTGGGTGGTAGTGCCAGGGTGCATGTTGCGGCGGTGAATGCTGGTTCTGGTGGTGGTGGTGGTGCTGCTGCTGCTGTTGTTGGGATCCGTAGCTCCCGGCAGCTCCAAGGGACCCTCCAGGTCCGCCGCCCAAAGCGATGCCGAGGCTGAGGGCGGAGATTGCGGCGGCGCCGCCACCCGGTGGGGGCCGCCTCGTAGGGCTGACGGTGATGCTCCGACGGCCCGGGCTGTCGGGGCCTGTGTTAGGGGGGCCGGAGCGGCAGCGAACGTTTGTACATTGAACCTTGATTGGGCCTAAGGACAGACTGTTGCTTGAGTGAAGCGAGGTTGCAGCAAAGTAGAGGGGATAGAAATGGGTGCGGCTCCGTAACGCTGGGAACGGGGTCAAGAGGCGTGCTGGTGGCGCCGTAATACAGACTCCTATGCTGATACGGCGCAGGCGGGGTTTAGGTCCTGATGGAGAAGTGGATGTTGGTGGGACGGTGAAGGCCGATAGATAAAGCGGTGTTACAGGCCCTTAATTCTAACACGTGTGTTTCACGATACAGCACAAGGTGCGTCGTGCCCTCAAGAACAACTCCAAAGCGAACGTTAATGTTATTTCTATGTTTAAATGCACAATTATCTCCATCCAATTATCAGCGATATATCCAAAACGCAACCGGTGCTTTCCCGCTTATATACAAAAGGCGTAAAATGTAAATCTTATGAAACATTGCCCAGTGGGCTGTGAAGCTGCGTCAAACGAAATCCTAGATCACGTTATTGGACAAAGAAAACAAAGGGCTGTCTCACATGAAGCCTGCACTCACCGACAAAGACCGCCCCGCCCTCACGGTTTGGCCCCTGCGGCAATCAGCCTGCGCTCTTCAAAACACTGCACCCTGCCATTGCCGATCTGCATGCCCCGGAAGACGAGGCCCTCGGCATCAATTTCCATGTCCCTGCCCGACTGGCCAAAGGCCCCGCGGCGACGAAGATAGCAATGTCAATAACAACAACCCTGCTTACATGCCTCATCCGCAGCACGGCACAGCACAGCGCTGCGCAGCCACAACACCTGCTGTTAACCCGCCGCTATCACCGGCGGTTTTCACAAGGCTCTCCAAACCTTCAACGAATCGCAACTCGGTCAACACTGCAGTACACCTATACCTTTCCTGCATTGGGTGCCCTTCCGGCAACCCCACATCCTTGCTGTCCCCTTTCTTGTTTCCCTCCGCATCTCCATCTTATTCGTTGTAACATACACGGTGGCCAGGGAGGAGAGTCACATTTGCCGTACACCGTCGTCCTTGCAAAGTCGCGAACCTGGCACAACCTGCCTGCCTGCACCTTGGCCGTTTCCACAGCTATTCGCGTCTCCCCAACCTCCACACCTCACGCACGGCCACGGCCCGATCCCGATCCCCAACCTGAAACCCAGCCCACCGACCGGCCCTCACCCCTGCTCGGCGGCCGCCGCATCGCCAACTGCATCCTCAGCGCCGCCAGCTCCTCTTTTGCCCGCAGCAGCGCGTTCCGCAGCTCGGACAGCTCTCGCTCCTGCTGGAACGCGCGGAACTGGCTCTCCTCCAAGTTCGAGAGCGCTGCAGCGCGGGCCGAGACCGCCTGACGCCCCAATGGTATGCGACAAATCGCACAGCAGCCAGCGAGGAGAGGCAATGCAGCGGGGTGGGGTGCGGAGCGCAAGAAACAAGGGGTGGTGAGGGTGATGGATTTGGGGAACTGGAATGCCGGTGCGGCGGCACTCTGGGCTGGGGCCAGACTAGCGGATATTAGTCCAGGGCTGGCCGAAGGTCCGGGCGGTGCCGAGACTGAAACGACAACCGGACCGCTAACGGGGGAGAGGACCGGCCAACACGCAGCGACTGGACTAGATGATGCTGCGGCATCAGCACGGCGTTCCCAGGCATGGCCACAGCGGGCAGAAGTGCCAGGTACAATAGCCCAATGCTTCTGACGGTCCGTGACACTCAACCGCAGAAGCTAGCAATGCGTGATTTTCGTCGAGGCAGGCACAAAGGTGGGGTGGCTGCGTGCTCTCGGATGGCATGTGGTCTCGACATGCGCAGCCCCGCCTACCTCATCCAGGAGTGCCTCCACGCGGCCCAACTGATTGCGCAACGCGTCCGCCTCCGCACCCAACGCTGCCACCGTGATTTGCAGCGACCCGCGTTCCTGCAGGCCAGGGAACAGACGCAACACGAAGGACGAGCGAGCGGCGACTTTCCTGGCTGCCAGAAAGAAAGCTTACGACCTCCTTGTCGAGGCGGCACGCTACGCTACCTGTGAAAACAGAGTACGTGTGCTGCCGGCTGCGCGGGGCCATAACGCGTCAGGACGCTCTGGGGGCTTAAGGATTCATACGGCAGCAGCCAGGTCGAGAGGCGTTTCAGGACCACTATGAGGCAGAGTCGAATCCCCGAATGCAAGGGCTGTGACTTCGCGGCCAACCTTCTGGGTTAGCTCCCCGATTGTCTCCATACCTGCCAACGTGCTTTCGACCCCGGCCCAATCTCGTCCCGGTCCCGTCCGCACCCGACGCCAGCTGACCCACCCACCCACCTGCTGAAGCTCGGTGACCTGGGCCGTGGCCTCTTCCTTGGCCCTCTCCAGCTGGGACACAACCTCCCGGATCTGGGTGCCCGCATGACGAGAGGCCAATGCCTCGGTCTGCGGGTAGACAGCCGGGATGGAAAGCTTAAGGCGTCCAACCAGCACAGGAAGCATAATTACATTACAAGTACGCAAGCACAGAAGGACGGGCATAGCAGGGATGCCACACATCCGCGCCACTAACTATGGGCGCTGCGAAGCGAGCCCTCTTCAGTCCTCCGTCCCTCCAAAGACACAGGGCGCGCCGGCGCCTCCTACCTCCAACCATCTTCTCGGGTGCACACGAAACGGAGCCCCTGACCCCTGCTTGCTCTCCTTACGAAACAAGGAAAACAAGTCATGTGTCCATGGCTCTGCCAGCTACATATTGAGGGCCAAGCCCTGGAGGTGCCACGCATAGGCGCTCGGCCACCAGCTGCCCTGGACTCATTCGGACACATGTTATCATGTGGTCATCAAAGCGCCAAGGAACTCACATTGAGCATGTTCATGGCACCCGCCGCGTTCTGCAACATGGCTTCTGCGCCCTCGGCTGCCTGCACCACGCGGCGACTGAGCTCATCGCGTGCCTGATTGAGCTCCAAGGCCAGCTTCTCAGCCTGCATGTAGGTTTCGGTCGCAACCAGGTTGAGTGAATGTGGTGCTGTACCCGGGCGAGTGGTAACATGTCTTCGGCGGAAAGGCAGGACTTATCATAAGGCAGAAGGTTCCATGCCCTAGCACAGCAATGGGCGCTTGGACCAACTGATTGCCCCTTTCGCCAGCAAGGATAACCCCGTCAATTTCACGGCCTGACGATGATGTAGCGGCTGCATCATCGCAGCTCTATACAAAGCATGCTGGGAACGCACCTGTAATCGGCACACTTCGGCGTCGGCCGCGTGCGCTGCTGCGCGGGCCTCCGCCTCCGCCCGAGCAGTCTCCAGCGCGCGCAGCCGATCGTCCTTGGCTCGTGCAGCCGCCAGGTCCGCCATGGCTTCAGAGCGCAGCTCCTGCATGCGGGCCCTGTCCATCTGCGGGCAGACGAGCGACAGGAGAATTATGCAATCCGCCCAGCCTGGAGCACTACACCTCAACACGGTATACTCGCGATGTGTTTTGTAATGCGATGCGCATTTCTACGTCAGTGTACAGCAATGCCGACCGATACACTGCACCCTTGCCGCATCGTCCATGGCATCAAAAAGCGACTACCCAAGACGATGTAGGGCTCGAGATATCCAGGGTCCATGGCATCAGTGCATCAGTGTCCAAGCACACCAGGACCCGGTGGACCCTTGGGATCCTCCTAACATGGACTGACGGACCTCCAGCTGCAAGCGCTGCTGCGCAACGCCGTTCTTAAGCTCCAGGTACTCGCGCTCCACGTCCTGCCGAGCCGCCACCTGCGCCTCCGCCACCACCTCCGTGGCCTCCGCCAGCTTCTTCTCCGCTGCCGCCTCCCGAGCCGCCACCGCGCGCTCGCGCAGCTCCAGCGACCGCTCCAGCTGCTTCAGTTGCTCCTGCCAACACAGCACACTATTCATGTCCAAGGAACGCCCGCTCACATCTCGTTCCTACCCACAATCATGTGCGCTGGACTGCTCAAAGCGCAAGCGGCACAACACACACAAACACCCATGCAAGCTGACGGTGGATCAAAGCGCCTTCGCAGTGGAGGGCAATAAGCCCGGTGTCAAGATGCGTCGTTGCAAGCACTGGATGGGGCCGCCGAAACAACCCTGGCGCACCATCGCGGCTTACTCCGTTTACGTTTGTTCGTTTCTGATTTGGCGGGTAATAGTGTGAGCGACAGGTCCAGGGAGCGTCGCATGTGTGCTGCGTGTGGCAACAATAGAGTTGTCGAAAATGAAAAGCACTTCATGCTCGCGTGCCCGGCGCTGACGTCTGCACGGCAGAAGCTTTGGGACCTAGGCGTCCCTAGTAGCGCGAATGTTTGAGTAAACCAGGGCGCTCCGCAAAGCACGGAGCTGCCGACCGCCGGCCCGGAGCCCGAATGCGGAAATCCGAACAAGCCGTGTGAGGACGTACGCGTCACGACAGTACACGCACCTGCCGGGCGTCAAGTTGCTGCTGCATTTCGGTCTTCTGGTTGCGCATACGCTCCTCCTCGCGAAGGATCCGCTGGCGGTGCTCATAGGCCACGTTTTCCACGTCACGCTGCACGCAGCCAGGGACAAGGTAGGGGGCCCCATGCGTGAGAGGCAGGGATTTGGAACGCAGCCCGCCGGCGTGCCATGGGACGGCAAGGAAAGGGAGTAACTGCCGTCATCAAGTGTGGCTGCATTTCGTATGGCAACGCCGAGCCCAGCGCATCACACGCTGGCAATGGTCGCCGCACGCAGCGCCCGGTGCGTCCCGTGTCCAAAAAGTCCTCCGTCTCCCCCTGCCTGCACGGCCGCCTCAGGTCCCATGGCACCTCACTCCTGCTCTCCTTTATGGAACAACCGGCAGCGGCGACCCCTCCAAACCCGTCTGTGTCCCGCGCCCTGCCATTCATCCGTGGCACTTCCGGCTGCAATCGTGCTACACCTGGCCGTCTTCTGATGCCTTTCCCCTCCCAGCCAAGCCTGCCAAAGCCCCCTGCCGACCTGTTGCCGTCGCAGCTTGTCCATCATCTCCTCCTCGCGCTGCCGCAGTTTGGTCAGCCGCTCGCTGTGCAGGCGATCCAACTCCAACCGCTCCGCCTCCATAGCTCGACGGGCCTTAGACGCCTCGTCCAGCCTAGCCGCCGCCACCTCCATTTCACGAATGCGCTCCACCTGAAAGGGAAGGGAAAAAGGAAAAGAGACAGCACCTTTGTTGGAGGAGCGGGGCGGCAGCGTCCTAAACCTTCTTGTGCATGATTAGTTTTAGTTGTCTTACGGTAACAGTATCGACGTTCGGCCCTAAGCGCCGACCAGGACTTACTGCCATCCAATCCCTGCTGCCGCCCACATCCGTATATGTGTGTTACACCTTGAGTTGCGTTAATCCTCCGAACATCCGCACCTGCTGCCAACCCTACTTGCGGCCTTTCGGCCTGCAGCCCCGCCTCCATGGTCTTTTCCTTACTAATCGCTACCGCCCGCCCATCAGCCCTATCCCGCCGCACCTGCCGCGCCACTTCCGCCTCCGCCTGCTCCTCAATCTCCTGACGGTACAGAGCGAGCCGCTCCTCCAGCCCCGCCCCCGGGCCCATCCGGGCCTCACGCAGACGAGACTGGTACTCGTTCTCCAGCTGCATCATGCGCACCTCCAACTGATACCTGATAGTCCCGGCATGATTTGGGCAATGCGATGGACAGCTTCAGCGCACCACAGGTATCACGCAATGGACTGGCTTTCGGAGCGCATTCCGCTGGGTGATGATGATTGCAATGGAGGGTTCCCCGGCCGACACTTAGGAGCTTCATGATGGACATGATGGACGCGTTGCGTGTGTAAGAGGTGAGGTTCAGGAGGCTGCAACGTCCATGTGACTGGTCCCTGTTGAGTGGGAATTCCCCATGTGCAGGTGCGTTTTGGACTCATGCCCAACTCGGCGCGAAGATATGAGCATCTTAGGGTGAATGGTACTGATATGTGGGCTTTCGTGGCAGGCCGGTACCGCGAGCCCTGGGTGCTATAACCCGTGCTGAAATGTACCTGTCACCGCCAATGGTCTGTGTGAAGGACTCCTTCCCTTTGGCCGCCGCTGCCTCGGAGATGGCCGAGAGGAGGTTCAAGATGACGCAGGAGCCGGGGCCAGCTAGAGGGTAAAAACCATTGGGGAAATTATGGGTGTCAGCCATTGCATCGCCGCCAGTGCGTGTGATGGGGAGATGGACAGGTATACACAGAGGGGTTGGGTGCATTTTAGATGCGGCCAAGGACCTTGCACCATCCTTAATTTCCGTCAAAATTTTCAGCCCGCCCTTTTAACAAACCCTCCTTAGACATAAATTATCCCAAACGCCGGCGCAGGCCTTTGAGCACGCCTACCGTGCGCTTTAGACTTCATGTAGGACTGGTAGAAGGACGCGTCACGATCTACTTTGAGCACATCCAAAACTTCATCTTCGGTTAGCAACGGGCGCGCCTCAATGCCAGACTCCTCTTTGAAAACAGACAGTGAGTAGTTGTATTGTACGGCAGCTAGGTAGTCCGCAATCATGCTGTTCAGCGCGTGGCGCTTCAGTCCCGGCTTGTCCCCGGGCGGGGGCCCAAGCTGCACAACCTGCCCTTTTTTGAGTGCGGAGAGCAACTGCGCTCGAAGTTGTGACTGCAGGCACGAACAGCAGTAGCAGTCGGTGTCAGCGTGTGCCATGACATGCGGCTGAAACAGGACCACAGACGCTATATGGAGCGTAGTCGAAACGCTGCATATCACAACTTGCCTTGACCTGCCCGACAACACCAGCTGTCTGCAGTTGAGACAGCATCTTCTTCTTAAACTCCGCCTGGTCCAGGTGACCCTCCCGTGCATCTCCAGGCTCTGACATGTTTTCCTTTCTTCTGAGAAATTTAGTTGAAGGCGCCGCTGGCTGGTGCACGGAATACAATGGTCTGTCAGCTGCAGTCAACCTTCAGTTCGGTCATTCACTGCCCGCATTTCCAAACTAATCGTCCTTAAGTGCTGGAACTCCAGTATCTATAAGTGAAATAAATTCCTTATCAACTCTTCTGCAGCTCCAGCGACGGATGACCAGGCCGTCGGAAGGGGAGGTCAAGACACAAAGTCAGCCATCATGGCTTGGATATGCGAATAACAAGTGATCGTCCTCATGCAATGCATACAATTGGAGTGCTAGGGAGCCCGCCAACAGCGTGAAAGGGTTACCTTGCATCGCCGTACATAGACGGCGTCGGAAATAAGTGCATCAACCCTGGCAACCTTTCCAAGAGTTTCAATGCAAGTAAGGGAATGTAAGGGAATGGAGAAGACCGCAGGTCATTAACAAGTGATGCCAACAATTGCATGAGAGCTAGGAAGGCGGGCGCGGAGCCAACACCCCACAGTCACCACCTCCACTCAATAGTCAGCTTTATCCCGAAACACGTATGAACACTGCTCCCTGATGCCGCGAATGGCGCCGCGCTCTGTCCGTGCAGCAATAGCAAGTTCCGGAAGTCCATGTTCCCAACACCGCAACCGCTCGCAAGCCTGGCTTATCCAGTCCTAGGCATGCACGCGTAACCGTAAGCACCAACAAATCTTTTTTTCACTTTAAAATTTCACCGCGCAACTTACAGCGTCCAAGCATCCCAAACCCATCACACGCCCACGAGACATCCGTGTCGCATGCCTCAGGCAGTAGCCGCCCTCGTCCGCCCTTACGGCAACGGTAGGCATAGCCATGCCCGCCGGAATTGCGTGCTGATTAGTACACCAGAGCCTTCTGGCCCTTCACCCTTCAAATGTCCCTCGCCGCCGAGCACCGCCTCGATCTCGCATCCTGCCAGCTCCCCGCTAGCAGCCCAGAACTGCCGCGCGCAGCCCTCCCATCGGGCAGCTTCCCCGCCTGCGGTCAACGGCAAACACAACGAAGGACAGGTGTTCACGAAGCTGAAGTACGGGTACGTCCAGGCGACTTAATACAGGATTATGCGGGTCTGGTGAACTTATTTAAGCGATGCAGCGATGAGTACATAGTGTTGCAAGGTTGGGCGACGACCAAGGGGATAAGGGGGATGTATATGGTGGCCCGCCAGAAAGGTTCTTTGGCAAACGGCCCCTTTCCCTCATCTCTATGGCTGACCCTGACGTGTCCGCAAGGCCTCCTTGACACGGCCCCTGAAAGTAAATCGGTTTCGTACCCCCAAGCCGTACAGCGTCAGCCGCATCGTACTGCTGGCAGGCACTGACCCCCAGGAGGTTGCAAGACACAACGGGACCTCAAGCCCCGCAACTTGTCGCCAATAATAGAGGAAGGAAAAGTGAATGAAAAAGAAAACCCCAAATAGGTGGGGCCCAGTACTCAGTGCTCCGTTGCCCACCTGCACCCGCACCAGCCATAGGCCCCCTTTGCAGCCCAGTCTACCCCACCTCGGTACGGCAGCACCCACAGCAGCTGTGCATACCGCCACGCCAGCACCGCCACGCTGGATGTATGCACGCCCGCCTCAGCAGCGAACCCAAGCAGGTGGCTGCAAGGCTGCTGCTGCTGCGCCTGCCGCTCCTGTTGCTGCTGTTGCAGCCGAGCAGGGTCTAGCCGCAGCAGCTTCGCGGCCTCACGGTAGAGCCCCTCGGCGAATGTTACCCTTGCAGATCTGGAGTAGGTGTACCCCAGAAGTGTCAGCAGCGGCGCCAGGGAGGGGCTCTTGTCGCCGTGGGCAGCTGGCGGAGGGTCAAGGGAGGGCGGGTGGGCCAGGTGAGACGAGACAGCCGCCAGGGCCGGGTGCAGCACATGATGGTGGATATTCACTGGCGAGCGGTCCTAGGGGAATTGAAGGAACGAGCAGCCCCAGATCGCTGCGAAGCCCCGACGGGGCGGCTAAGTGGCAACCTTCCAGCCCTCTCACCCTCCGCGGCCTTGAGTGCCTCGCCCATGCGCTCCTCCGCCTCGCCCCACTCCCGTGCCTTCATAAGTATCTGGGCCTGACCCGTCAGAGCGTCAGCCGCTACCTGCGCGCATAGACATGAATGCGGTTGCCACCGCTATGAACAGCTATCCAAGCACACATGCAGCACGACCCAAGAAGGTGTTGGATGCGGGTGCAGGTGCCGCATGACGGCCGTGGGCACTCCTCACACCATGCTGAGCAGCACCAGACCGGCACATAACAACATAACTAAGACCTGAAAAGCATCAGCGGTGACTCCCTGGTTCGCTGAAGCTCCGGGCATGCCCGAGTTGCGCCTGTCCAAGCACTTCAAGGTTTACAGAACATCTGGCTTAATCGAGGTATCCGGTACAGAGCTGCACCACTTCTACCACTTAAGAATGTCACTTGCAGCACCCTTACCTCGCGGTTATGTTGCTGCTGCGCCCAGGACGAAGGCGAGGCTGATGCTCCCTCTGCTGGTGCGACCCCTGCGGCATCCGCCGCTGCAGTTAGCGCCGCCTCAGACTCCTCCCTTCTCCCCTGCAGCGCTCGCAACAGTCCCACAGCGTGCGCTGCATCCGCAAGGCGCTGATCCGCCCGTGTCGCGGCTGCCGGGTCCGGGCCCAGCGCCGCTGCCAACAGATCCCCCGCCGCCGCTGCATCCGCGGAGGACGCTGCGCTGCCTTGCATGGCGATTGCTCGCAGCCCCAGGCTCCGAATGTGGGCTGTGTTCCTGGAAAAGGGTGCCCCGCCGGGCCCTTCGAACCCACCAGGCGGCTGCTGTGTCCCGGATGGGGATGTGGATGGCCCTGCAGCCCGCAGCGCTCGCTCACACTCCGTCGCCAGCGATTGGGCGTCCTGGTCATGGCCCTGTCGGCGGTGAGGCCAAGCATGGTTACCACTTGGTTCCCGTTAAGCCGCCACGTGGCGGGGCGGTTACGGTCGTCGCCATGATCGCACGTGGCAAGTTAGCAGCAAAGCATGCACTGGTAGAATTGAAGGGAATGGCAGCTTACTATGAGCCCTCCATGCTCGTAACCTTTCATTCCCACGACCCTGCAGCTCCCATCTCCCAACTGCAACGACCCCCACAGCTACCCGCAGCGCCACACGCGCAGGAGCCCACCAGGATGAGCGACGCCCGCGTCGCCAGACTGCCCGCAGCCAAGGTCAGGTCCCTGGCTGCCTCAGAGCTAGGTGCGGCAGCAGCCGCAAGACGGGTACTGCTGGCGGCCTGCTCCTGCGCCTTGACCTGCGTCGGGATACGGGCCCCGGTCTGTTTCATTAAGGCATCTTGTCGCAACGAACCGTGGCGGAGCCCGAAGGCATGGCCTGACAGCAAATCGCGAGTATGCAGTGCACACCACTCTGGAAGCGCTGGGTTTTGGGGGTAAATGAGTGTTTTACCTTCCACGTGGACAGGTGGTTCGCTTTTACAAGGGGACGGTTAGCGAGCTTTGCCGGTGCCGTTAGGTACTATGGAAAACGAGGTGTATTAGGGACCGATGTTGAGAGAACTCTTCACAAGCAAGGAGGGAGACCTTGATGTGCTTTATGTGCGTCGCCTAGCTGTCTAATCCGAGTTAAAGCCGCCAGCCCTGGGGCCCAGGTCTCTCACCCAATGGTTACGATTCGCCTCAAGCTGGGCAATGGCGAGATGCAGCCGCGCGCTGCCCACAGGGTCGGTTTGGGGACTGGTGTAGGACAAGCCCGACATGAGCACGTCGACTGCCATGTCTGGGTTGGTCTGGTTTCGGAGTCAGTGATCACCCAGGGCGCACCAAGTCGCCATGCCATACGCAAGATGATGATGGAGACGCGGGAGAAAGAGGTATGGATAGGGGGCCCGAGAGGAGGGTTGCGGAGGTAGTTGCGTTTAACGTGTTTGCAGGGTGCGCAGCCATTGTGAACGGGTTAGGCTAGGGGACAAGTGCGCGGGTGAAGAAAGGGTATGCTCGCTGCTTTTGCTAAAGAAGCAAATCTATGTTGGTACCTTGTGCTGTCCCATGGCGTACTCGATCATCTGATCGACGGCGGAGGACGCGGCTGCAAACCTGGCTACGGAACCAGTGAAGGAGCGTACCGTCGTGATTGCCTTGTAATAACGTACGCTTCCTCCCGTAAACATAGTTTGTGACATGTTTGCAGGAGCAGCAATCTGTATACCTATATACCTATCACAGGGGCCCAATCCGGCGAACGGGTGACATGTGAGAACCTGCGATATTGAGTAACAGACTATTGAGTAACAGAGTTTTGGTTATACTCTAAGGGAGATACCATCTCGCGGTGGGCAAGGCGCTCGCTGGAAACTTGATGACTCCGAAACCAGGAATGCGCTGCAAGGGTCAGACAACCAGAACACGTTTGTAAGGAGCTGTGTATAGATTAAACAGATTTTCCAATTCTGTACGCTCCATTCGCATACGTGTCAAGCTGTCAGCTGGGGCTGCAAGCCACAGCTAAAATGTTTTGGCGGAAACCTGACCTTAAAGGCAAGCATGTTATTATAACAGGTGGCTCCGCAGGCATTGGACTTGCACTGGCTTCCGAAGCTGTGAAGCTAAAAGCAAATGTGACCATCATGTCGCGCTCCGACACACGCCTAAGGGCCGCTCAAGCTCAGTTAGTGGGGGAAGCACAAAAGCGTGGCACGGGAAGCAAGGTGATGTACAGGAAGCTCGATGTCACAGATGCCGCGCAGGTAAGCGCGGCGTGGAGGGTTGTCCTCACTGTTCGAGGTCGACTCCTCGTCCAATCCATTTGAGCTTAGCAATGATGCGTCGTGAGCCCGAAGCGTCTTCAGGAACGGGATACACGCTAGGCCTTTCACAGATTTCTATCAGCGCGAAGCTGGGTAAAACTCTGATCATCACTGATGGGTCCAAAACCATGAACCTAACCGCTGCCTGTAATATAAATCACACCACAACCCACTTCAAATTTTATTGGTGCATGACACCGGAGAACACGGCCTGGACCTTTTCCTATGGTTATGGTATAATGCCTTTTCATCTATCGCGTGCCTACGCCGAACTCTTTCCCTGGCCAAGGTTTTGGAAACCCTTGCAGCAGCCGTACAGGATCTGGGCCCTGTGGACTTGCTGATATGCAACGCAGGAGCAGCCCACCTAGGTATGGATGGCATGCTGTTCAGCGGGGTTTTTGTAAGGGAGATACAAAACCCAGCAGCTGCCAGTTCCCCCGCCTGGCATGCTGCTGACGGCTGCTGCAAACCGCTGCATGCTGTGCCTTACCTTCCGTGTTGCCGCAGGATATTTCCACGAAAACGACTTGGAGACATTCCGTCAGCAAATGGAACTCAACTTCTTCGGCGTCCTGAACGTCGTACACGCGGTGTACGGCGACATGGTCCGCCGGAACCAGGGACATATCTGCCTCGTGGGCTCTGCTCTCAGCACCTTTGGTGGGTTAGGAGGTAGTTTGGTGTACAGGGAGGCACAATTTATGGAAGGTGCACGAACAAGTTACGTGCTGGAGCTCCGATGGGTTCCATGTCCCGACCTTCACCCCGCTGCAAAGGCGCGACATGCGCGAGGTCAAGCCACTTAGAGATTGTCTTCCTAGAAGCCCGATGCCGAGAGATCCGCGAGAACCACGCAGCGGCTGCGCATACTCTAAATCCAAAAGCTGGATCCATCAGGAGCCTGTGACGGAAGGGTTCTATGCTACAGCAGCGCAACGGGCGTGATGATTCACGTCCCATAAATGTTGGGATACAAGATTTTTAAGGAGGGAGGGTCCGTGTGCCTGCTCTCTGGCATATGTTGTTGAGTTGTGCTCTCTGATGCTGCTCGCCCTCCATGTCAGGCCTGGTGGGCTACAGTGCCTACTGTCCCTCCAAGTATGCGGTGAAGGGGCTGGCGGACTGTCTGCGCAATGAGGTACGGAAATGGGCTGGGCCTGAGATGGGCCCCGGGGACGAGGGTGGATAGGCGATTCGCCCTTGTCCCGTCCTCCGGTGTTCCAGCGATGAGTTGCTGGGGCCGCGAGGCCCCCGCACATGTCCCCCGCACGTGTGACGCACCTCCGTGTCGTGTGGTGGCGGGCGGCGCTCGTGGCTCTGAAACTCTTGCAGGAAAGAGCAAACAGCAGCAGCAGCAAGGACAACTGCAACGCAGCACACCAGCAACGTGTCGCTTTGGTGCTAACCCTGTTCGCTGGCCTTTCCGCCGCGGCCCGTCGTTTCGTGTCGATGGTATTCCACAGCTTCAGGGAACGCATGTGAAAATTTCTTTCGCTCAACCACCTGACACCGACACTCCAGGCCTTGCGGAGGAGAATAAACACAAGGTGCGACACTTGGTGATAGGGGGCAGCATTTCGTAGCGATAAGGGGGCGTTTCCTTAAGGAGATAGGGTCTTGTGTGTTGTTGATTGGGACGCCCACATTCGCGTGCTCTGTCCCCGCCCCTCGTCCTATCCAGCTTACCTTTCCTACTGATTAACTTCATAAATTCCTATCCTTTGTAGCCGCCCGAGACAAAGGAAATCTCTGAGTCGGGCTCCACCGTGTACAAGCCGGAGGAGGTGCGTACGGGGGGATGGGGGGTGGCGCTGGTCGGTGTCCGCCGCGGCAGTGCCAGTGGGCCCAGGGTGGCGCTGCGGTGACCTTGCCTACATGCCGGCCTACGGTTTGGAGCCCTCAAGGGCACCTTTTTCAGCTCCCCTCCTGCTGTCCAGTGCGGCCCGACCCGATCGGCCTCTCAGGCACTGTTCCTGTCCTTAGCTCTCGGCATTTTCGCAGTATTATCACAGTTATTCAAGACAAACGATCCCTCATCGCGGCTCAGATCATTATAAACTTTTTCACATGATCTGTTGCGGTATGTCATCCCTTGTCGTCACTGCGATGCAGTCGTGCATACCTCCCCAGCATCCTTCTTCTCGCAATGCAGGTCGCTGCGGTCCTTATGGGCGGCATCCTCCGCGGGGCGTACTTGCTGCCCACCCCCGACCTCGGGCTCCAGTTCAATGCAATCGCCACCAAGGGTCTGCTGCCGAGGTCCTTCCCAGGAGTCCTGGTGGACATGCTGTTCAGCTGCATCGCACCGCTGGCACATTGGTTCTTCGTGGGCATGTTTGACCGTGTGGCGCGGCGAACCGCGGGTCGGCGATTTTCCAAGTTGTGGGGAATAGGGCTTGAGCGGCAAGCGCAAGAGGGGCAGGGATGAGGCGAAGCGCTAGATAGGGACGAGGGGCAAAAGGGCATGATGAGCGCGAGGTTTCCTGTACGCTTAGAGGAGTCAACGGAGTCAATGCGAGACGCATAGCATAATATTCTTGTTTCATGGGGTAATGGTTGGAAGTTTTTTAATTCTTGATAATCAGTGTGGGTACCCAAAGAGTTCACAATTAGACCATTCAAGGCCCTGCAGGGTCTAAACGAGCCGAAGATCCAATGATCCGCCAGGTACAACCAAATTAATATGGCAAGTACGGACGCTAAGCTTCTTGACTCAGCTTGTTCCAATGGGTTCAGCATGTCATCGCCCGTCTGATGTACGATGCCATAATGCGTGGGTTTTTAGCGTACGCATTCAGTACAGACTTGCATCTCGTCGTCGATCGGTCCACATACGAATCTCATGGCCCTCTGGATGCCGTTATCACCGCATCCGGGTGCATCTTTCACGGACATGGGCGTTTTTATAAGCGGGTACTGTCATATGGGTACTTCTTTGACATTTGCCATGGGACGAGCGACAAGTTGCGGTGTCTAAGATGCACTCGTCGAGGGTTGCAGTGATGTGTGTGCCACAACTTATGGGGGCCTCCGCCTCGTGTGGAGGCGAGCAGCGCGCAGCCAGTCTTGAGGGCATTTGGGGTTGTCGTCCACATGTTGGCATGGAGGGCTCTAGCTGAGACGAGAGCCAGGGATTTAGCCGGCGACAGTTATGCTGCGTCTTCGCCTATCAGATGACTGTGATATGAGATCACGTAGGACAAGTTTTGCCCAGCATGTCTCGTGCAAGGGTGTGACGCGCATGTAGGAAACGTATGAGAGTTTACACCCGAGGAGCTCATGGGTTCCCAGGGAATCGCAGGAAAACTCTACTGATGTCGCATCAAGGTCCTCGGTGCAAAATTAGGCTTAACACGAAGCCCTAGGGCACCGCGTCCCTGTAATATCCACACAGCAAGGTGGGAATGACCCGGGGACGAAGGGGGAACGAAGGGGCGCGCTGTGAGGTAGCTGCAAGGCTGCATAGGCGGAACCTACTAACGTACGCCGTTGGGGTATTCTGCCAGCGTCCCGAGTCCCTGCTGTAGGGGCACGACCAGCTACGGACATTCAAATGTAAGCAATTAGGCCGAACACTAACAAAGTCACTAGCCTAGCACTCCTAACTTGTGACGTTAGTCTCGCCTACGAAACCACACACACATGTGCTTCCAGTCTAAGTCTCGAATCCATGTTCTTCTCGATATACAGACCCACCATGCATTGTCCTCAAAGTAGCTCCTTAGGGATAACCCCAATTATTTATATCCACTTTTGATGCCGCATCCCCTGATGACCGCATGGTGCTCTTGGCAGTCCAATGGTTTCCCGGATGAAAAATGTACAGCATGCGTGTGCCTAACCTAACGCTTTGGCCGTTCTGGCCCTCTTCCACCTCCCAACTGCATATAAAATTCTGGGGTGAATCCACACTAAAAGCTCCCACCAGGAGTGAGGGCCCAAGGTGCTGTGCATGCCAAGAAAAGTCCGTCCGTTATGCTGCCGAGCTAACCACCGAAAGCCCGTAAGGCAAATCCCCATCAAATCACTGAAACGAATCTATTCTGAAAGGGGTCTTCATCATGTCAGCACGCTACCTCTCAGGCCCATCACGGCATCCACATAAAGCGCATGACAGTAGCGGCATGTTGCAGACGTGGTTGCGCGCAGCAACCATCGGCAGCTGGCAAGGCTAAACCCAAAGCATCCAGCTTCTAATTGGATAAAATCATTCATTTCTAACCACCCTCCTTCACTCATAACGGCTTCACAGCCCAAGGCATGCGCCTCAAAGTACCACACATCAGCCGCCGACGCCATTGCATGCAAGTACGCAACAGCCACCAAAGCGCTGCAGCACCTTGAAAAGCCATCCGAGGACCAAAGAACGCAACAGACCTTTTCGTGTGCCTGCTGTGCTTTCTGCCAGTTGCTGCTGTCTGCTGCTACCATCCGAAGTAATGGCCCGGCACAGTCCATCCGTGACTACTGAAGTCACGACGTACCAAGAAACCCGCGCAGACTCGAACGGTGCATGCGCCACTTCCTCCTGGACCTCGCAAGTTAATGCTAATGGCCTGCGCCCATGAAAATGAATTCTTTAACAGCGCGAAGGCGCCCAAACAATCCTTCTCCGGTGCATATCAGGTCCCATCCCAATCTTCCGGAGTCGACGACCTATTTGCGAGCCTTCATGAATTTATCTTCGAGGAGCACCCTCTTCGATGCTTCCGCTTTTGCCAGTGGAATCATGGTGCCCACCCGACGCACCGCCACCGCTTGCGATTTGATTCATCTTGATGTAGTTATACCACGCAAAGCCAGTCAAAGAAATAAGGTAGCCAATGCCCTGCAGAGACACGCGCGCGACGAGGGGGTGCTTTAAAGGAAAAGGACGCACTCGGAGCGCGGAGACCATGAAACTGGTGAAACGCTGGTGCGCAGGACGGGAGGAGCTCGTCATTCAGCGGTCAATTCTCAGGAGGTCCCTCACCTGCACTCCCGTGACCACTTCCGCAAAGAAAACCACACCGCACACCACCAAGAGAGTGTTCTTGACAGTCCCAAGGACTTTAAGCGTAAGGCTAGAAGCCAGCTGCAAAAAGGAAATGGTTCCGTGGCACGACGGATGGGTAAGTTGTCATGGGTCCTGCCCACTATGACCCAAATGGATTGCCAGCATTATGGGGACGTGGACAAGTGCCGTCCACAAAACCGTGCGAAAATCAAGGGCTTTGCACGAGATAGGTGGTGAAAGGGTTCAGATGGGCGCTGAACAACGAGAAATGCAAGCTGCATTCCTAAGGTGACCACCACCGTGCTTTTATTGTCTTCTCATGGGTGCACAACACCTTCCCAGCACAGGCCCCGTTCTCCTCATGTCTGTGATGGCTTGATGATATAAGCTAGCCTGCTGGATTAACGCCATCCGTGCATCGGTCGTTCTCCCGTTACCTTGTATCCGTCGATGGCAGCAACTGCCGTGACCTACCAGGCATGCCCAACCCCGCCCCAGTCATCGCAAACCCACCCAGCCAAGCACCCAGCCAAGGGCCTTACCTTAATGGTGGTGTACGCCAGCGTGTTGACCGCAAAGCCCATAACGGCGGCGGTCAGGAACAGCCCGGGATACGCCCGCACAATCTCAAGGCTACCTGTCGTCCAGATGGCGTGCATCTCCCAAATCGCAGAGCCCAAGAACAGCCAGAGGCAACAGGCAGGTGCCAAGTACATGAGGCCTTCAATGGGGTGGAACTTGAGGCCCACCAGCAGGAACTGGGTCATCACGAGCCGGATAGACTCTGCCGTCTCTGAAGAGAACATGAGCAACAGGCCCACGACCGACATGCGGACCTCGCCGTATGCCGCCACGGCAGTGCCCGTGGCCGTCAGCAGCACAGAGGCGATCATGGGTCGTGTGGGGTCCTCAAGCCGGGCTAAGAACAAGCACACCATTGTGACCACTGGCGTAAACGCCTTGAGCATCTGCGCCGGGGACCAAAATCAAAGTGACGGTGATGCGGTCTAGGACTACCAAATATGCGGGATAACTAAACACACTTACTATGGCAGCTCGCCTTTCTGCAAAACCCGAAACTGAGAACCTGGTTGGAGCGACCATTAAGCAGGGGACCATGTCTCCCTTGGGCAGGATACTGAACCACCGTCCAGGATGTGACCCATGCCTATTTGCGTGAGGGCGCCGTCTCAGGGAACTACCCAACCCTACCTGGATGAAAGCCACTGTAAGGTACAAGTACACCTCGTTCCCAGTCCACAGCGTAAGTGCCATGAAAAACCTGATACGGCGATTTGGGCCAGCGAAAATATACAAGGTTTAAAGCATGACGAGCATCTCGCCACGCACTTGCAGGCATTGCGGCTGGTGCGGGTGAAGGGGAACCATGAGCTGCAAAGATGATGCAACGTACAACGGCCGTACCATGAAAGCTTTCATGCCAAGATGCGGACAGCATGTGTTGCAAGCGCACCAATGGCAAATCGCTGCGGAGAGGTGGCAAGCAGTCGGACCGTATTAGGAGGCCCGGGTGGGAAGAATACCAGCAAACGGAACCTCTGGCAGGCGTTCGCTGCAGATGGATGGAAAGCTGGGACTTTCACGTCCCCGCTGGGACTTTCACGTCCCCCGCCGCTACGGGGCCCCACTTAGTACCCCAATCGCCTGCTTCTCCGTAGACTTCCATACGTGCTGCTGCATACCCGATGGGAAGAATCTTGGTTATCCAGAAGCGCAGGCGCACAATAGCGTGCGTCTCCACTACCCGCAGAACACGACAGCAAATGAAGCTCAATAGACCACTCATGACCATTCCCATGACACTAACTGTCATGGGGTACTTGAACTTGAGGTCGACCATGATGTACCTAGAAGACACAAGGGACAGCTTAGACCAAAATATTCTAGCCACAAAATTAATAATCTAGGAAGATATCATAGCTGCAAACATTTCAGCGCTGTGCAGCAACTGCCTTGGTATGTGCAAGCGGAACATACTTATTGAGGATGATCAACGCCGAAGATACTGTCATCCATGCTGCTGAGACCAGAACTGCAAGCAAGACTCTCAGCCATCCAGACTTCAATTTTACAAGAGACTTGTCCTTGGTAATCGGGACTTGTCCTGTTAGGAGCGGTTTGCGCTCGGCTATCCGCTCAGACATTATTGTCGATAATGATTCGGACTTGTTTACTATAATTTCTTTTCGGCCAGGCTCGTCTGGGTCAATCCTCATCGGTTCTGTCAGGAGTCCCGACAATCGATCAGTTTGCTGAAAAGCTAAACTTCTATGGAAGAATTAAACAAAATTTGACAGCTTCTGATAAAGTCATCAGTAGGTTGCGGGTACCTGTCAGGATTAACCGCTCTTTGCAAGTCCGATCACGACCGTACGCTCGGCTCCGTTCGGGCTTGTGGCCCCTGCTGGATTCCCTCCGTAAATGAATTTTCCATATGTACGCATTCTTTTTATGGCATGCGCAAACGAGTAGGTAGTACTTACACCAGTAGTTAAGTTCAATTATCCGGCGGATTTGACGCATCGAATTGAAGGATGCTCAGGCAGTTGGCGGCTCGTAGGTTTCGGGCAGTGTTTGCTAGCCAAATGCAATGCTCTCCCTCAGTGGGAACTGCCGGGGCCCGTGAGCTGTCGGGGCAAGACTGCCACCAGCCAGCCGCTTCGTTTGCTCTGTACAACGGAAGGCCCCAAATTTGCACTGAAGCACGTACTGACAGGCAGCTGCTCCAATACCTTTCGCCAAAGTCCACACCAAGACTTGAAATATGGCGGCAATTTGCAACCTCGGCGACGGCAGCAATTGCACATCGCCCAGCCGTTTTCGTCGCCAGCGTGACTACTGGGAAGAAAAGCTCGACCACTGCAAAGAAGAAGCCGCCTTCGGCATCGGGGAGTAGGAAGGCAAAGTCTTCTGCTGCGTCCAAGGCCAAGACGGCACGTTCCAAAAAAGCTGGCACATCGCGCACGAGCGGCACCGCTCGGGGACGCGCTGCGGCGGAGCGGAGGCGTGTTAGCGCAGTTGCCAAGGTGAAGGCCCGAGCGGCTGAGTCCATCGCCAAGGTAAAGGCACGGGAGAAGGCTCTTGCGGAGAAGCTCAAGGCGGAGATTAAAGCCCGTGCAAACTTAATTGCCAAAGTCAAGGCCGACCAAAAGGAAAAGTTCAAGATTGCTTTGGAGAAGGTCAAGGCCAAGGCTGCCGAAAAGATCGCCCTCTTGGAGTCCAAGTCAAAGACCGGCGGACGCGTTAAGCGGGCCCCGAGCGCTTACAACCTCTATCTCAGCGAGCAGATGAAGGCTAACTCGAAGCTAACGTTTAAAGAGGCCAGCCAGCGGTTTAAAGAGCTGCCGGGGGGGGAGAAGAAGAAGTACGAGGACCAGGCCGCGGCCGCTAAGGCGGAGGCGCAACAGGCACGCGAGAAACTCGCGACGGAGCGCGCCGCACGCCGGCCCAGGAATGCGTTCATGTTCTTTTATGCTGAGCAGCGCCCGGTGGTGCTGGCGGCCAACCCTGGCCTGTCCGCGGTGGACATAACGAAGAGGGTTGGGGAGATGTGGCGCGGCATGACGGCGGTAGAGCGCCAGAAATACACCGAGCTGTCGGCTGCAGACCGGAAGGCCAAGGGCCTGGTGGAGGTGCCGGCCGTCTCAGGAGCTGCCACCGCAGCCATGGCAGCCGTACCCACGCAGGCTTAGGCCTTAGATATCTGAGTGGTAGTCGTGGAATTACCCGGCTTGGCAGTCCGATATTGTTAGACATGGATAGGCTACACGATTTTCTTACGTTCATTATGGCTTATGTGAAGGTCTAGTTTTCGTTCAAAACGCACAGGTGCGCGCTCAGGAGACTCGCATTGGGGTCTACAATTACGTCAGGCCCATAAATATACGAGGCAGTACCAATTGGGTGTAAAAGTGAGCGGCGCAGGGGTCTTAGATCATGATGCCGCGGCCTGCTGTTCTGCGGGTTTATGCTAATTATGGCCCCGCCTTACATCACTAGATGTTGCATGTGGCCTTCGGAATGTTGGATTGCTGTACTCGCGTGGGGGAAGATTGATATTGTTTGGTGGGAGACATGACATGCCGGTATACGTACTGTGTGGATTATACTGACAGATGCACTCGGATGGGGGCTTGCAAAGACTTGCTTTTATAAATAGGGACCGATGGCCTGCATGGTTAGAAATGTTAGCTATAGCTCCGACGTTGTGTATCGACGGTTACGTTGTAGTGCTGGCCTCGCTTTTCTTTTTGGTCTTTTTCCATGAAGTTTTGGATGGCACGACCCACAAGATCTGGAATGCCAAAAGACTCCAACGACGCGCGCTCAGGCTGGAGCCCCGGACCATCCTGGGCCGAGTGGCTATTGTTATTTGGCGCTCATGGTCCTGCTGATGTTCCTCGGGAGCTTGTCCTTGCGTCATGTGCGTTTTGTCATGTTGGTATTTTAGCACCTGCGTTCTTCTCTTGCATGTTCCAGAGTTGTACCGTGGGTTGGAAGAGTGCGGCGGGTCCCATCATCCAGGTAACAAATGCACGATGTGAGCGATACATGGCGCTTCTCCCAATAGGCTAAACCGTGGCCTCAGATACATTAATAGGATATGATCTGGGCCTGCATTCTTTTTTCGTTGACAAATTTGGGTTGTGGAATTGTGTTTGAGGATTTTACCGGAAGGGCACAGTGGCGGTGGGTGCGCTTTCTCTGGCGGTGGCGTATGGAACTGGACAAAAGGCTGTCTTCATGCCGAATGCGCCTGATGCGGTGTGAAAAGCAGCTAAACGTAACGCCGAACAGTTTTTCGCGGGTTCTTACATTTCGTGACAACGTTGCTGTTCAAAACCATCACCAAAATCCATAGCACTTATCCCTTGTCACACTTCCTGTGCACACGGTACAACATCTCTTTGATTAAATTGGTTAGCTCAAATCCGTATTGATAGTTGACCGCATAATCAGCTGCTGCGCGTCCGCATCACTGCAACCGTACGCGTCCAGCCCGTAACCCTATGCGTACGAAACATCCAGACGACAGCCGTAGACTGTTTCAGTTTAAATTTGCCTACCATGATGCTAACTTTCCCCTCTCCACGCAAGTTAAATGGGCAACTGTCCATTTAATATAGGAAACTCCAATCTCGCACCCGAAAAGCTTTCGCATGGCAGGGAAATGGCATGTCGCACCCGGCTGCATCGCAGTAGACCTGAGCTGACTCTCATTGTACAAAATGCCAAAGCAGTGTCTACTTAACAGCCGCGGGTCTCATGCCGCATATTCCACACCAGGGTTGACCGCAACCCAACATCTGTATCTAGGCGCATACATACGAACATCCAAACTGCGCAGTCACTGTCATAATATCCCATAGCCACCCTCGTTCCTCCATTCGCGCTTTTCCACGGCGTATCAGCGCCCCTGACAGCTTCCCACAGTTGCAGCGTCCGTAGCGCACAGACGACCACGAAACTACCTTATGAACCTCATGGAAAAGACAACCGCCCAACCCAATCCCTAAACCCTAATCCCCGCCAGGATGATCGGGGTCTCATGCCTTTGTCACTATCACGACACTCATATTTTCGCTGCTCGCTCTTTAGAATGACACCGGTTGTTCCCCGTTAGATACTGGGCGGCTCGCAGTCTTGCAGCAACCAAAGTCCGTTGAGTTCCTCAGAGTCTGGGTCGGGCTGCACAGCCAGGAAATGCAGACCCCTGCACCGGCGGTGGGTGTAACAACAAGCGGGCGGCGGCACGAAGTTAGCACGTGTCCTGAACTAAAGCAGTAATTATATGCTGTATTCTCCCAAAGCACATGCCGTCAACAACTGTGTGCTACCCAGGTCACGAACCCGACGGCGATACGTACTTGACGCCCTCCTTGGCGATCTCCCAACCCTCCGCCTCGCCGATTGAGTCTTCGTTCGGTCGCCAACTGCCATACTTCCACCGTTGGTTCACCCCCGTTTCAAGGATAAGACAAGAGCGCTGGACGTCGGCCTTGACAGCCGCGATTTCTAAGCCATTCGTCCAGGCTGCCAGGGGCAGAGCACGCCTGCTGAACACCACTACGCCAGGAATGAGGATATCCATGGGCAGGTCCTGCAGCCCTGCCGTCCCCAGCGAAAACGTCCCGCCAAAAATCTCACCCTGGACGCGAGTGCAGGGAGGTCAGGTGTAAAGCGGAAGTTAGAACGCCAATACTCCCTCGGCATTCTTTGGCACAACCGTGTCAGGGCAACACGTCCGCGTGAACATGTTGACCAGCCTTGCCGATGCTTACGTCCAGGGTTTAATCTTCAACCCCGATACCAGGGGCCCCCTTACCCAAGACTGTGTGTTCCCTGATGATGTCATGCAGATGATTACCTATGGTCGATTGTCAGTTTTGCGCCGTCCATCTAATGCCATTACACGGTAGTGTAGGGTGTGGTTCTATACCAATGATCCTGTATGTTATTTAATTGAGATACCCTGTAAGAGAAGGAGGTCCTGGAGCCTCTCACAGAGCCATTCCCGGATCAGGGGGTCGCAATCAGCCCACCCAACGCCGACAAGTCGCCCTTCACGCCAATCCAGCCCAACATCCTGCCTGGCTCGCACAAGTAGGCATCGGTTTCCAAAACGGCAACTGGCTCCCTAGCCCAGAGTATGCTGCCGCCAGGCCAGCTGTGACCCACCAACAGCGGATTGCTCACCTCCTCCACCTTTCTCAGCATCTGGAGAAGCGTTCCTAGCGGCAGCTGCACAAACGCCCATTGCTCTCCGCGAAGCGCGTCAGGCAGCGCCTACAGCAAGATCGCAAGGGGATAAGCCGATCGGGGAGAGCGGCATGTGCCCACACGCGAGGCACAGAGGTCGGGACTCCTGACGGCATACATCTCAGCGAGCGCTCAGGGGAGCAAAGTTCACAAGTGATCGCTTTGCGAATGGTGAGATCCATACAGATAAGACTATAACAACTGAGCGCGTGTTGTGCCGAAGCTGTCAACTCGCCAAGCATGGGCCCAACGGCTGAGCTCCCGAAGCGTGTCCTATTTTGTCAAAGCCAGGCTCCGCAAAGCTACATGATACGGATTACCAGGCCGATTCCCCCTTGCGCATCTGAGCTTCACATCTTCCCCGCCCCATCTTCTCTCTTCCCATGCCGCCTCGAAAAAGCCGACGCAAGCTCCTCCTTTGTGCCCCCTTTCTTGTTAAGCTTTCCCCCACGATGACATCTGTGGTCGAACCCGCAGCATGCCCCTTGCCTGGTCCTGCGTACGCACCCACCTCAGGTGGGCCCAGGTCCAGCTGGAAGAGCGACTGCGCCTTGTCGCTGTAACGCGGGTCGGTTTTGTAAACCGAGTCTAGCCGTTCGTTAATCCATGCTGCACAGCACAGGGTGGTAAAACTGATGCATGAATGGAGACGCAAGGGCTATGTAGCCAAGGGGCTCATTGCTCTTTTCCAGGGCGCCGTGGCATTAATCTTTCAACTTGCCCCTAAATCAGAACATGCACCGAAAAATACGAAGTTGCGTGAAATTGCAGACCCCTCGCGCGATACGTGTTGGCACGTTCAGCTGGCGAGAAAGGCAGAGAACGCATCGACCAGCAGTGCTAGATGTAAGGACGGGGCTGGAGTTTGTCAGATCATCAACGGCATTGTGCGATACAAGACCCCTGACATCGTATGGCATCATATTACCAAGAAAACTATCATCTATATAAATTTCCCCCTGCATAGATCAGGTTGATCCCCAGGATATACATCAAAGCGCGGTGATGTGATGAACAAGATCACCCCTACTCACACATAACAGTGAAGCAGCGGCGGCTAGGCACTGCCTTGATCTGGCAGTCCGTCAGGGCCTTAGTGATGATGGTTTGCATTTGGCTCCGGAAGAACCGCGCTTTCTCAGGTCTTTGGGCGCCGGCCTGGGCGAGGATGCGCTCAATGGCGCGCTTGAGCTGCGCGCAGGCATCTGGAGTCAAGCTTTCCAGCCGTCGGGGGTAAGAGGTTCGGGGAGCGAGCTGCTGCCAGACCCACCTCAGCGCTATTGATCTTGCTGTTTGGAAAATACTCCGAGTATTCAAATTTGCGCTCTGGATCGCAAATCAGGAGCTCCCAAACCTTCTTTCCACGCTCATCCAGCAGTGGACGGGAGCAGAAGTCAATTTCCCACACAGTCGATTTGGGCACTGCCTTGCCTGTGGACGATGTACTAGCTTGCTGAACTGCGACATCGCTACTACAGACGACCACTTGGCCTCGCCGTTGTATCCGCCGCTGTTGAGGAGCCGAGGCACGGAGCTGGGTCCCACGCCTCGTTGGCGCATGCGGCAGCAAAGTGCAAGGAGATTGGATTGAAGATCTGGCGTGCGCTGGAGGCGCGACAAGGCGCTGGGCACCTAAAGTCGAGGACATTTCCGACGGCCAAGCTATACAACCACAAGAATGAAAATAACTAGATCTCACGATGAACCCTTATAAGCATGAGATATTATTATGAAGTAGGACTACAGGTATGTGCTATGATACAAATCAACAAACGGTCATTCTCCGATTTTCGTTTTTGGACGTTGGAGATGGAGCGGCTACGGACGAGCGACGAGAAGTCAGGGCCTTTCTGCCGAGAATCCTTACAAGTTATAAGTTACAAGTATAAGCCTGCTTATATGACCATTGTTTGGACAGATCAGCATGTACACAAGTTACCTCCCAGGCTAGAATAAATAGCATGCATTGTCTATACGCAGGAGTCGCATCAAAGGCGTCCATTAAACGGTATATGGTCTTCATATACATAGGCAACGTAACGCGTTCATAATGCCACATAAGCTGGCAATCGTCCCCCCGCATGGTTTTGGAGGTTACCTGTCCAGGCATACGCATGAAGGCATCCAAGGATGGTAATCAACAATCACACCATGATGAAAAAATTCTATCACAGCAGCATCTTCAAACAAGCAGCGGCAAAATTGCTATTCGCCAATGCAAGCGTTAATTATAATAGTTGCCAGAGGCAACACATCACGATGCTCTTAGCAGTAACAAAGAGCAACGAAGCATAGAAATCCTCCTCCGCAACTGCTCCGCAAGTTCCACGACAAATAAGGTCTTCTTTGTTCACTTGTTGGCCTCCTCGCAGGAATCAAGCCAATCATGATAAACATCAACAGCATCCGTTAAAGGCGTGCAGCGGCTCTCATACTTCTGGCTACACTGCAAAAGCAATTACCGCGGGGCGCCAAAGTTAAGTCCTTCCCGCCTTCGCACTTCAAAATGTGGATAAGTGAGAATACAGCCATCATGCAAGATAAGCATCAGCAGCAAGCAGTTGTAAAGCCTTACTTGAGAGCACTTGGCGGTCGCCCTGCCCATATCCCGATCAAAGTTAACAGATACAGACTTGCTACTGTTGCAAAATGGACACGAAAACAACGTGTCTAGCTTGGCTCTTGGCTTCTTGGGTGGCGGTTTGGAGCCGCCTTTCCTTTTGCCCATTACGCGAAAATTGGTATTACTGTTTTAAAATATAATGATCGCTATACACGTTGGAAATTTTAGACCTAGCTACCTGCGATACCAAGCTAAAGTTTGCAAAAGCCCTCGAGGAGTAGTTCGTTGACGTCCAGAATACATATGTATATGTATAGGATATCTGGTATGCAAGGGAAACCTCTAGGCCTTGTTGGCAGGAATTTTAAGTTATGGATCCCGTGAACGCGCGGATTCAACAGAGCTGTACAGGCATGCAGACCAAGGCATCGTACGACACTGCGTCCTAAAAACGTTACACAAAAGACTTCAGCATTTCTCGCACGGACACAGCCTTCTCCTTCCTAACGTGCTGGGCTGATGCCCAGATGCGATAATGCCAAGTCAGCGAGGCTTTACTTTCACACCGCCCATGGGCTCGTGCCCATCGGCGTTACGGACTACACATGTGGCCGTTACACAACCTCATTTGGCATATAACCTAAACAGGCGCTCGTTCCACAGAGGCAGGGTCGCAGGCCCTTTCCTTGGTCGCTGCTGGCTGCAACCATCCCCTGGTCCCCAGCACCCGAAAGCGCGTGGCCACCGCTTCCATCTCCCCTCGGCGTCCCGTAGGCAAATGTGAGCTCTTCACCAGCGGCCACATCGCGCGACGCGAACAGTGCTACAGTGGGCAACAAGCTGCCTCTCCGCCGGACCACCATCAGCATCAGACAGCCCCCGTCGCAACTGCAGATCGGGGAAATCCAGCGGACACGTGTGGTTCAATTCACAGGCAGGGCCGGCTCAGGTGGGCGGTAGGTGCGCAATCCACAAGCTATAGTTGACACATGGTAAGCAGCCCATCTCAGGCCAGGGCAAACGTCACGTCGCGGCTTACAACAGCAGTGGATTGCCGTTTCAAACATCTCCACGCACAACACGCACATCAACCGTTGTAACGGACCGTCCCAGAACCGCAGGTGCAGAAGCCGTCCAAGAAGCCGTCAGCGAAGCTTGCAGCGGAAATGTGTGTGCTAAGTCAGAAATGGTCTATCCTCCCTGCGCCATCAGAATACCTCCCAAGCCGGCTAGTGGAAGTCCACCAACCCATTCTGCGCAGCAGACCACCTTATCACCTGTGATTGAAGAACCGCGCCACGTTGCCCACCGAAGTCGCATCTATGTTGAGACGAAGAGCCAGACCGCTGGGCAGGATCTCCCGCAGCACCTGCGTAGAAAGATCGGGAGGCGGTGGGTTGATTGCTGGCAGGTGTCAAAGCACCCAACGAACTAACAGAACACACATGCACCCCGTGCCACACCGCACCGCGTTTCGACGGTGAAGCGCTAAGCCTTCCGCACGGCACGGCACGGCAAATGCTGGCATGACCCTGAACCCAGCCGACCCAATTCATGTTGGACAGCTTCCCAGCCATTGCTTGGCGGGCCTTATCGACTTCACCTGATCCGCAGTGCCGCTGTGGCGGACTCACGGTCACGGACACAGATCACGCCGACCCAAATCAAGCCAACCCAAATCGCCCAAAACACCGATTACGTTAACTCAGATCACGCGCGTGACAGGAACTTTGGACAGGAACTTTGTCGAGCAACACTGCCAAGGGGACTCCTGCCCCAAAAGCGCGCCTCCCACAAGCCAGGACAGCTGCTCCCCAACAAGCTGCTCTCAAGCTCACCAGCAGTCCGTGGCCTCGTCCAGCGGCGTCGTAACGTCTGAGCCTAGCATGCGCTTCTGCCGTCGTCACGTACTCGCCGCCGTACACACACACGAAGCGGCCGGCGGGGATGGGCTCCAACGACACCACTCCCCAGCCCTGGGCATGAGTGCCATCATGCCGTGAACCGAGAGTGCATAGGCCCACCAGGCAGGCAGGTCCCCAACACTGCCAACACTGCCCACAGTCACAGTCACGAAGTCAACCCCCAAAGACAATTGCCAGAGGACTCCAGAGGACAGTAATCATAGGGTTCGCATTTCTGGCAAGTGGCGCTGCTCTGTAGCAGCAGGACTGGCGTCAGGTGACCGCGGAAGCGAGGGGCACCAAAACAGAACTGTACGAGAGCAAGCGCTTGATGCGCACCCCAAAGGGAATGGAACAGTGCCCCAGGTCCCACGTAAAGCCCCTCCAAAGCATTGAATAGCTCTGCCTGCTGGACTGAACAACATGGCCTTTTCACCATTGCACAGTACTCTCGTAGTACCGTTCGTCCTCAAAAGATGTGAAGTAAATCCTGTGAGTCTGGGTCCTTCACTCTTTGCCATCCCTGTACATAAATTCCCCCCTTGCGCTGCCAAAACGCATGCAAATGAACCCCTCTCATCGAACCTCTCGAACATGTCAACTGATACCCACATATCCTCCTCCTCCTTTCCCGTGAGAGCAACCCCCGGCCCACCTTGCCATCCATCCACCGTACTGCCAGCCGTACAGCTAGTCCCTTCTGAGTCAGACGTGCGGGACACGAATTCCCCCAGCTGGACCGCGCTTTACCCGCCGCCGCCGCCCCGGCTGCAGCATGATCCATCTCCGGCTCCGATTCCCGTCCCTTCCATGTCCCTCCATCACCACCGCGTTCCCGGCCCCGGCTCCTCGGCCCAAAATCGCCATTGAGATCAGGACTGTGCGCCAGCTGGGTGTTGCGGCACGCGCAGGCTGGGCCGCATTCCAGGATGTATGCAAGGGCGGTAGTACCGCTACTGCCGGATGCACCCTGCAGACAAGCTGCAATCAAATCCTCTGTGCGAGTGGCAAAGACGGATGGCGGAGGCAAGAGGAAAATGAGGCTACGAGCAAGCAGCACTGGCTGACTGGCTCTCTTAGTCGGGACAACAAGGATACGACGGGGATGAAGGAGAGCGGGCTGCAGCGAGGAGGGAGTTCGCGAACTCCAAGATCTGGCAGCGGCAGGAACAGCAGAGCGCAAATAGGGGGTTCGGAGTGCCGACCGATGCGTGCGGCGCGCGGTCTGCAGGCTACAGCCTTGGGGCCCAGCAGCGGCTTTGAGGCCCCGCTGTGATCCGCAGCCCCCTTGCAGCAGCATACGCACAACATTAAAAGCCAGCACGCCACCGGGTACGTACCGTGCGTGGGTCAAGCAGCAGCCCACCGACCCGTGGGTCATAAGCTTGCTGTCCCCCGGGCACCACAACACCGCAGGCGCACACCCGACCCCCATCAGGTGGGGCAGCATGACCGCCGCAGCCCGTGAAGGTGGTACTGTTGCCGCCATCGTCTCCGAGGCCGACTCCGCTGCTGCTGTCAAAAGTATTGCCGTCCCCGCTAAACTGGCTGCTGCCATCGCCGCCGCCGCCTCTTCCTCGACTACCGTTCCGTCCGCCTTTAGCTTCCACATGCAGGTAAGCATGCGATGGAGCCGGATGGGGTCCCTGGAGTGCTTCCTTGAAAGGATGCGCTACGAAGTCAGGATGGGCAACTCTGTCCAGGCTGCGACTTCCTACGGCTGGCACGCTCCCTGCAGCTTCACCATCCTGCCGCAAGTTGTCCATGCTTGCTGCTTGGCGGCTACGGGGTCCACAGTGGACGTTTGCCGTGAGGCCATTGATGTCGGCGCTGGCACAGGGAAAGCTGTCGCCTCGGACGCAACAGACGCAGTCAGGGCCGCAGCCGTTGTCTCCCAGCAGGCCGCCGCCGCCAGGTGGCAGGTCGAGAGCCGTGTAGGTGAAATCCAGAGGCACCGGAGGATGCGAGCTGTCCGGAGGGGGAAAAGGGCAGGCCCAGCCATAGCAATCAGCGAAAGCCCCTCGGGAGCCGTGGATGTGTATGGAGATGGGGAGGAATGTTGGTGTATTGATGCAGTGATCGTTAGTGGCCGGGAATCGTACGTGGTTGCATTGCACCTGAATGAGGGCAGCGACAGCACCGTGACGAGATGTTGCGGCTCCGTGCCTAGGGATAGGTCTCGGCTCAGGGCCGCCAGATGCAGTCGCAGCGCAGCCGCAAAAGCGGAGCATGACACTCCAAGCCGCCCTAAGTCGCGGTTAAGCGGAAGCTGCTGCAACAATACATCGAAAAGCAGTTCCGGGACAGATTCTGAGCGTTGCGATGAGCCAATCATGAGTTGGTTAACCAGCTAAAAGCTCTGACCGTCTATACAGCATTACTTTGCACAATCTTGAATGTCGGGTGTGATGCTGTACAAGCGGTTATGCCGTTGAAACTGGATTCATTTTGGCGAAATGAGCAGTTTTGTGACTTTCTGGCTTATGCAATGACACTAATCCATACCCACATGTGGCGCCCATATTTTTGAGCGCCTGGACTGATGCGCCTCCGCTGCAAGCTTGATTGTAGGCTCATCCACTGGAACGTTGTACAGTCCGCACCATCTGCCAAATTCCTGGAACGCTGTAAACTCCTTTCTCTTCATCGCTCACTTAGATCTTTTGTCGTGACCGTTTCTGCTGCTGTGCCGGCCGCTGCCTCACAAACCATGGCAGACGTGCCCACCTCTCAAGGTCTTGAGATGGGGGACCAGGCAACGAGGCCACTACCTGCGGAGCCGATAGACCTGGAGCTACCCCCTATGTCTGCGTCGGTGGCCGTCCTGGCGCCTGCGGCCGGAGTTTCGATGGCTTCCGCCCACGACAATGCGGAAAGCGGCGGCGTCGTTAGCTGCCCGCCAGGGGAGCACCAACAGGAGCAAGAAGGCCGGGGGCCCACTCAATCCTCCCCAGGGACGATTCTGAGAGAGGGGAAGCAACGGCAGCACCACCAGCAAGAACAACGACAACAACAGCGGCAACACCATCAAGACCCGCAGCAGCAAGGTTTTCTGCCATCTGAGCTGCCTCCAGACACCACCATCGAGGACGCGTCAACGGCACCGCGACCTGGTGACTACGTGTTCGTCGACGGCCTTCGACTGGTACGACGGAGGGAAGGAGAAGGGTGCAGGGGTTGCTGGTATGCGGCCGGCCGGGGGTATGCGGCGGCGGCCTCATAGCTAAAGAAAACCGCCGGACCGGCCGATGTCGGCTGTGGCGGCACATGCCATCGGAGGGCCGGGCACCTTGCGGGTGGGGCTGAACGGGTGGGGGCTGGATGCAATGTGTCCTTGGATCCTGGGGTGGCGGCGGTGGCGGCGGAGAAAGGGGAGACGACGGGAGATGGCGGGGCAGCAGTTTAGACCGTCTGCCGTGCCCGTGGGGGGGAGCTGCTAGGCAGGTGATATCCGGGGTGACGGCGGCGCTGCCTGTATCCGGGTGCTGCCTGGTGCGGGAGCGCAGAGGGGGAATGGCACCACCGATGAGACCGTTCCACCCTCGACCAGCCTTGATGCCGGGACCCGCGAGCACGCCCGTACTCAGCCCCTTGGCGCCTCCTGGGGCCCCTCCGACGGTCGTGCGGCGGCCCGTACCTGACTCGCAGGTTAAGCCGTACTATTTTGACTTCAAGTGTTTCGTCAAGAAGCGGCAGGACGGCAAGCCACTGATGCAGCTCATGGCGGAGGTGAGGTCCGGTCCGGTCCGGTGCTGTGCGATCCAGGGGCGGGGCGGGGCGGGGAGGGTGCGCTCCAGGATTCGCGATTGGGAAAAAGATATGTCATAGCAGTTATAACAGGCGGGGCCTGGAGGGGCCCCAGGGGTTGGGGACGGCGATGTGGCCTGGCCCTGACGTCCCTTGTATCGGTTCCTCCCCCCTCCCTCCTCCCCGTGTAGGAGTTCCCCATGTTGTCCCCCGAGTATTACCGTGAGGCTGTGGCCTCGGGTCGACTGCGCATGGAGCCATCCTCGTGCTGCCCGGGACGGGGCGGGGCGGAGGGAGGGAAGGGAAAGGGGAGGGGCGGAGGTGGGATCTGGACGCCTGAGCGGCCGCTGCGTGCGGGTATGTGCATCCGGCACTTCATCCACCGCCACGAGCCCCCCGTGCTGGCGGGGGAGGTGCAGGTACGCGAGAGCATGTGGGGTAGGGGGGGACCGGGGGACTCGTGTGGGCTCCCTGTCTGTTCGCGGGTATGAGTGTGTGCGTATGTATGTGATGCCAGAGGGGTCCATCTGCAGCCGCTTTTGCTCCCGGCTAAATCCATTCCTGTCTTCGTTTTTGGTCGGTACGTTTCAAGAGTGTGCATTGATGTGGGCAGATGGTTGTCACCAGGTGGTTACAGGTGGTTACAGGTGCCGCCATTTGGAGGACGGCAAAATTCGCTCTTGTAGGTAGCGATGCCGCCCCTTTGTGGACCCAATGGGGGTGTGAGACAGCATTCAGGCAATAACGCATACGTGCACATACACACACAGCCAACTGTACATGTCTGGTCATAATGCATAGTACGCACACGCGCGTCCTTCCTCTCTCTCTACCCAACTCCCTCTCCCGCTGCTCGCCGCCTTGCTGCTGCTGCTCCTCCTCACCTCCTCCTCACCCTCCTCCTCCAACCTGTACGGCAATCACCCGCTAAGATCCTTGGGATTACGGATGACTTCGTGGCGGTCAACAAGCCCGCCTGTTTGCCCGTGCACACAGTGGGGCAATACCGCAAGAACACCGTGATGGGAGTGATGCAGGTGGGCCGGGCCCGCCAAAGGAATGAGGGGGGGCTGGTTGTTTTAGAGGTCTTCGGGGCCACAGCTGACGAAGGAAATGCAGGTGGATGGTGGTGCATGAATAACTTTACCGAAGCGAGCTTCGTACGCCAGTGACGTGTTAGGAAAAAATTTCCATTGAATCTGTGGACAAGTAGATGGTGAGGAGAGGAGAGTGACGTTGTCGAGAGCCCAGAGCAGAAATAAGCGGAGGCGGTGTAGAGCGAAGGGCGAAGGGCGACTAGGTGGTGGTGGGCGGCTAGCATTGACTACACACACAAGGAGGACATCTCCCAACCAGAAAGTCCCAACCGGATGGAACCTAAAATCCTGTTTACCTATCTTTCCTAAGAAAGCGAACAAAGCGGAGCAGGGTCGTGCTACCATAACGCATGCGACGCGATGACGACAATATATGCGACATACATATACGACATGTATATGTGGAGGAGGAGGAGGAATAAGGCGAATGTATGTGTGTGGAGGAGGAGGAAGGAGGAGGAAGTGAAGCACTGGGAGCGGGCGATAGGGGGAATGTTGTTGCCGTTATGACCGTTATGCGCAACCTCAATGCCCCTCGCGCCCCCCGGCTTACTGCCTACCGCCCTTACGTGCTCGTCCCCGCTCCCCCGCTGCGGCCGCGTTACCTGTCCACACCTCGAGCCGCGTTCGCTCCAACGCCACCCCTTCGCCCGCTCAGGCCATGTATCCCCGGCTGTGGCCCCTCTACCCGACCTACCGGCTGGACAAGCCCGTCAGCGGGGTGCTGCTGCTGGCCAGGAGTAGCGCAGTGGCGGCCCGGATGAGGGTGCTGCTGGAGGTGAGAGTGTGTGTGTGAAGGGGGGGAGGTGGACGGGAGGGCTGTTGCAGGAGGGAGGCGCAGGAGGCGGTTGCGTGGAAGGGGGGGAGAAATGTGGGAGAGGTGTACTGGGAGGTGCCAAGTTAGGTTGGGAGCCCCCCACTTCACCTGCACCGGCCCCGCCGGACTACTAGATGCGGTCCTACCAAAAGCAGCTAAGTCCTTTATATCTCTTGCCTGCGCCTGACAACAATAAAACGCTACGCTATACGAACACTACACAGCGTCACCCCACATCCCACATCCCACATCCCACATCCCACATCCCACACCGCCGTATTGTAGGAGCGGGGCTGCTCCAAGGCCTATGTGGCCCGAGTGCAGGGGGTGTTTCCGGACACTGACGCGGCGGGGGGCCCCTTGGTGGTGGATGTGCCTCTGGGCTGGGAGGCCAAGACCAACCACGCCACGCCGGTACCCCGGGAGGCTGTGGAGGCGGCCGCGGCGGGGGGGCCTCTGCCGCCTGGGCTGAACCCCGAGCTGGCGGCCAGTGCCAAACCCGCGGAGACGCACTTCCGGAGGCTGAGTGTGGCCCCGGATGGGTTGACAAGGTGCGGCGGGATGAAGTGAAGTGCTGTGTGATTGTGTTATGATGCCAGAGAGGAAGGAGGAAAACTGAGCGGCCGATAACTGGGTGCTGCTTGGGCTTGTAACCAAGACAGTTGTCAACGAACTGGACGAGCATGGCAATGCGAGCATGTGCCTAATGGACCGGGACATGGTTGTGAGCGCGTGTGATGCTCATCGTTCCCCCCGCCCGGCGCTTTAGGGCCCTTGGAACGCCTCCCCACCTCCGACTCTACCCCCCTCTCCTCACCCCCGCCAATTACACACATATACATACATGCGCACACACACGCAGTGTGGTCGAGGCGGTTCCCAAGACTGGTCGCACACACCAAATCCGAGTACACTTGCAGCATCTGGGACACCCCATCGCCAACGACACGCAGTACGGCGGATTGTACGGGCTGCCGCTGTTCTTCCGGCGGGGCATGGGCGGTCCGGCGCGCCCGCACGTCAACGGGCAGCGCAGGTATGTAGCGACAGATTTCGGCTTCATGGGTGTTCATCCCCTCCAGGGGCGGTTTCAGGTGGGCCAACAAAGAGATGCATAGAGAGTGGGGGCGGGGAAGTGGTCTCCATTTGAAGCCCCATCTGGGCCATTGTTGTTGCAGGCGGCTGGCGGAGGCAGGCACGGAGGGGGAAGCCGCTGCCCTGGTCGCCGCCGCAGAGGGCTGCGAGGTAGTTACAGCCCCGGGCTCAAGGTCGAATGACAGTCCTGTTGCAGCGGGCGTTGCCGGGTGCGGTGAGCAGCTGGTCCCCGCTAGCTCAGCCTCCAGTCCGAAAAACCATGCAAGCAAGTGTGCAGGGACAGGGACGATGTCGGCGTCGGCGTTGGCACCCGTGCCACATAAGCGGCAAAGACGGTGCGATGACGGGCAGCGCAGCAGCGGCGGAAGCGATGGCGGAGGCAGCTGTATGACAGGAAGTTGCTCAGCGGCCGCGGCCGCGGAGGCGGAGGCGGAGGCGGAGGGGGAGGCGGACGCGATGGCGGCAGGGCCCAACGGCAGGGCGGAGCTGGTGGCGGCCTCTTCAGAGCGCTACGTGCAGCTGTACACCCTGCCGCAATTTCAGGTGGGTGCGGAAAGGGCGAGCTAAGGTGGGAAGGGTCACACTGCCTGCGATGTGGTGGGCCCGGGTCGCAGCAGCGCAACCTCCTACTTTCTCCTCGTGTCCTCCCAACACCTAAACCACAGCACCACCATGATCACCTCTTGACCAGCCTAGTTCGTTTGCGACCTCAAGGCTGCGGTACCTAGCAGGGCCCCGTGCCACCGGCCATCACTGAGGCGGCCATAATAGCTGTCAGGATTTTCCGGGGCCACAGGGGTCCCCGCGTTGCTAGCCTTCCCGGCAAAAACCTGAAACCCTGAGGTGCACATCATGACCTAACCCCTGGCCCTTGCCCACTCAACCCTGTGCTACCACCACCACCACCACCATCACCACGACCACCTCCAGGTCCCCGGGGGCTCCGCTGACCCGCTTTGCCCGCACTGCCCTTGCCTGGTGCCCGAGGGCTACCCCATCGACCTGGAGCCCCTCTACCTGCACGCAGCAAGGTATGCCGGCCCCAGCAGCACCAACGGTTGCGAGGCGGCGCGGGGTGGGGTTGGAGGAGAGGGCAGGGAGGGTTGGAGCTTTGAGGCGCCTCTGCCCGAATGGGCTCAGCCAGGTTTTGTGGCAGTGCCGGCTGGAGGCGGGTGACGGTTAGCGGGAGGACACGGAGTTATGGGGTCTTGAAGCCCGACAGAAGCAGCAGCTGCAGCCGCGACATTAGATGTGGTGGTGGACGCGGCAACAACGGGGGTTCGACGGCTGCGGTGCTGTATGCGGCGGCTGTAGGTTTTAGGGCCAACGTGCGTGTGGGAGGGCTTACAGCCATATGCTGGCTACGCTTCCGACGGGTAGCAGTCTTGAGGAATTTTGTAACACAGGTGCCTTCATGGGTTTCACTCTTGGCCCCGCGCCTCAGGCGCCGCTTCAGGCGCTCCGGGGCAGGGCACACTTGCGCGCCGGGTGTTCTGCTGCTTGCTGAGCGGGTCTAGAGGGACTGTATGCCTAGTGCTAAGCTCTCGTTCCGTGAAGCAAGGTTGTGACGGCTGAGTGATACAGCAGCATGGGAATCGGCGGACGCGGGGCAACAAATGCGGGGTCCTTCGTGTCAGTGCGGCTGTGGCTGGAAACCAGCAGCTCATGATAACATGGCGGCGTCAAGTGACTGGGCTTCTGGAATCCTTGTAAGTCACCTCCCTCGGAAGCCTCCACACCTAAATTCTCAAAGAACCTAAAGTACCTGCCGCCGTAGCTCAGATGCAGCGATGCGAGACCGAACAGTAGCAAGCAGCAGACCCAGCCAATTTTCGCACGCGGGGCCCCCACCCGCACACCCGACCAAGCATATGGAAAAAGGTACTCGTCGGAATAACGTACCGTACTATACATTCCCCAGCACAATAATGCAGAGTGTAAAAGCTTCTGCACGTCTGCAGCCCGGGCAGCTGGATCAAAGGTCCAGGATCACCGCACACCTGTGCGCCTGGCCGATGGCCTGCACACGTTCCGCGTGCCTAAAGGGACAACGCGCCTGGGCATCATGAACCCCTGGGGCAACTGAAAGATGGAACGTAAGTTGACCTTTGTATTGGCAGCGCTTCAACGAGCCTTACTACGTTTGTGGCCCAGTCCTTGTCCGCCAGACTTGACGGCACTGCAAACCACCGTTGTCCGCCCACTCAGTGCTCAGGTAATCAGCACTCCACCGCGGCTGCCTGCAGGCTTTCAGCTTCGGCCCGCAACCTCTACGTCCCAACAAAATATATGCTTCTACTATGTACAGGAATGAATCAACGCAAGGGGCTGCTTCCAAGCGAACCCGTCCGCGCACACCCACATCACGCCTTTAATCGCATGAGCTCCGTCGGCCCATCGCCTCGAGCATCCTACACGCACTGTCGCCCTCCGCCTTCGCGCTGATGTACGTTTGTTGTCCAACAACACCTTCCAAAGACATCTAACGGAGTCATTCCGATCTCTCCCATTACCAGCCCTCGTCCACCATCCACTCCCACCGCAGAGCTTTGGGTCATGTCTGGGTCGGCGGCTCCCTTTTGAGTCGCATCGCCAACACCAGCAACACTAAGACTACACTAGGATGATCCTCCTGGCAATAAATCATCCTGATTAAGGACGGCGGAATGGGATGCGAGGAGAAGGCCACATCCTGTAGACAGCCAGGGGCCCTCTGCCTCATTCCGGCCGGGCGTTATCACAAGGCATGCATGTAGTGCCTGGCACGTGCCGCGCAACTGTGTACATTCGAGCCTTTAAGGCGGTTACATACCAGCGACCCTGCCTGCGGGATGGTTCCGCAGATACGCCAAAAGTTATCACCATGAAGCCGCAAAACACGCCTCCACATCACCACGCAAAAGCAGCACCAGCTTGCTTCGCGCCAAGGGTCTGGCTCTCGCCGTCAGCAGAGCGCATCGGCCCCTGATATTCTTTGCGGCTATTATGTATCGCATCTTTATAAGTCTTGCCCATCCCTGGAGGACGCTCACACACGTTGAGTTATGAGCGCAAGTACTAGCCGTAATGCTGACCGCGCTGGTAGCCGGCGCAGCCATAGCCGCCGCCGCCGCCCACGCTCAGTCGTCGTCGTCCGCCACATCCTCCTCCACGAAGCCGCCATTGTCCGTATCCCGCTCCCCGCGGAGACCCAGGTCGGCGGGGCCCCGGCGATCCTCCGCCATATCGGGTGCAACACCCAGGGCCTGTTGGCAGGCAGGTCGCAGGAACAGTTAAGGGCGGAGCAGATTGGAGTTGATGAGCCCGGGGTGCCACCCGACTTGCACCCGCCCCAGGGCAACTTGGAAATTCGAGTTAGCATGGTATGCGGCAAGCCATCTCAACAGGTTACCTAGAGACGCAGTACAGTACGTGCTGCGTTGCGACGCAGGCTGCCGACCGAGGTGGAAGTGTGCGCCGCCAGCTGCGACCCGTGCCCCTGGCAAAGGCTTCCATACAGACTCTCCTTCAACGGTTCCACCACGCCCCGGCCATGAACTGTTACCATGCTCTTCGGGCTGTGCCGCACTTATGCAAAACGGTTCTATGGCCTGTACGTAGCCTCTAGCCTGCCTGCACCTCAGCAGCACCCCGAGTCTTAAATACTTCCTCCTGGCCCATTCTGCAGCCGGCACCCACCTTGTAAATGTCCTCCACCATGCGTGTGTCCAGGTAAGGTGACAGGATGATGCCCCGCCGCCTCATGGCCTCAATGGCCTTGTAGGCCTCCATGGGCTGCCGGGCCTCGTACCTGATCAGCAGCAGGAGGGTGCAGTTTAAGGAAAAAGGAAAAAAGAGGGTTGCTATGAAGTGAAGGAAATTAGGAGGGGGGCGCGCTCAGGGTGAGAAGCGAGAAGGCGAATGGGCTTGAGTCCTCCACGACACATCCCAAACTCCATTCACGCGTCCATCTGAACCGTCATGTACAGGAAATTTGATAACTGATGCACACCAGGGCTATCATACGGGCAGTTGAGATGCGTTGGGCGTACTCTCGGTCTCATGTGGTCCTTTTTCTTTTTAATTATGCGGTTCTCTACGAGTACAGACCTGGCACATCGCGCTCAGGCGCGCTGAGCCCAGGCGAACAGAAGAGGATGTCAACGCCCTCACTCGGTGCCACAATAATGGCTATTGACCGTCCATGGGGGCAACCCCGGGCTTTTACGGACGGTCGCCCCCATTTGTGCGGAACTTGTAACTTGTAACTCGACGAAGTGCCACAAGGAAGGCAATAAGAAGCCGGTTTTGCAGGTACAGGGTTTACACGTCCCCGATCACGTAACATACACGTATGGCCAGGGGACGGTCTTCAGATCCAAAACGTGGCTACCTCCCGGGATCAGGTGGTGTACACGAGGAGGACACAAGGACAGCCGCCCCACTGACACTCACCAGTACTCAACCATGAGGGCGTACACGTCACCGATGCGAATACCAGCCTCCAGGTCCTAAACAAAGTAAGGAAAGCCGGGCATGGGCATGGGCAGGGGGTCATTGTCCAGCCCGGAAGTTCGAAGAGCGAGGGTGAGGGAAGCGAATCAACAACCGACATTCAAAAAAGCCTGGATAAACGGCGCGTACTGTATTTAAGAGGTCACTAGACATAACGATTGAAGGGCGTCTAAATGTTGGGGCCATGGGCCATCACGCCACCCACCTGGCTGTCCGGCGGGATAGTCTGCAGCAGCTCCTCGCAGACCCGCAGCGCCTCCGAGGGGTTGCTGGCGATGAGCTGCCGCGCTTCTACAAATCGCTCCGACACGGCGATGCGGTCGCTTATAGCCGCAAGTCGTTGGTCGCGGTCTTCGCTCTTGGACTTGGCCACGTACTTGGCGGCCTCGCGCATCGCCTGGGAGAGTGGGTTGGGACACAATTTTGATATTGGCTGGGGATGATTGAGTGGTGGGGAGTGTGGTGCACATGCGCACCTTCCCAAACTCCTCGCGTGTCGCAGAGGGTGGAGGGATAGCGAACCGTGGGGTGCAGAATCAGCTGGCACGGGCTTCATGTGCCAGTTCGATACCGTCATACACCGGCTCACTGTTTCATACACATTTTTCAATAGCATTTTCGTGTATCATGCGCACCTGCAGCGCCTTTTCGTAGTCCCGGTACTCGTCCACCTCGATCTGCGCACACGCCTCGTAGAAGTTGGCCAGGCTGTCCCACGCGGCGGCCTGTCCGCCACGCAGCGGTGGAGAGCAGCGGAAACGGCGGTCGCAACAAGTGGGGAAAAAGTTAGGAAGGGAAGAAAAAAGGCGCAGCAGCAGATGCCAGGTGCAGCAGTAGGATTGTCGTAAGAATCGGAATAATGCGGAAGCAACAGCAGCAGTGTTGCCTAGCGCTCTAAGGAAAGACAGTGGGTGCGTCCTCCGGGTATAGCCCTGGTCTGTGCCAGTTCAAGCTCGTTCTTTGTACGCTTCGGCAGGCGGCACGCTAGCTCACACAGGCCATCCGTAATCGAGTCCCACAGCCCTTATTCCCACCTTTGTGTAGAACGAGATGATGTGCTTCATGAGCTCTGGATCCGAGTGCCAGTTGAGGGTCTGCAAGTAGTTGGCGGCCATCAGGTACAGGTCCTTCTGACGAGAGACACCTGCAGGCAGCCCCCAAAGGCAGGTTGTGTTGGATGCACCCAGCAATAACAACCCCGTAGAAATTGGGGCCGGGTCCCATGCACGCTTTCAGTGGGGCAGAAAAAGCTTGCCCTTCGAGGGAGAGGGGCACCGTCGCTTCCCACCACCACAAACCTTGCAACTAAATCACGCATAGAAGCAGGCACGCACCCGCAAAGAAGATAATTTTTTCCGCATCTCCCCCCTTCAGCAACGCCTTCATGGCCTTGACCTTGTCACCCGCCTGCGTGTACTTCTTGGCCGCCAGCTGGTAGTTACCCTGCCGCTTAGCGACCTGCACACAGAGCAGGCGCATACGACGCAAGGGGTTCTATACAAGGGGCATCACCAACCAGATTACGGTTATTACATCTGCACCAGGACCAACAGCAGTATCAACGTAAAATCGAGGAGGCCAATTGGAAATCCCTCTTCACACAACCCACCTTAGCAATTCGGCAGATGACCGAGTTGCGCTCATCGGCGCCCATCACGCTCTTGTCGGGCGTCATCGAGTCCGCCATTTCCTGGTAAGAGGGAACGAGCCACAGCATGAACGAACATGACTTGAGCAAACGAGGAGTTCTTTAGCACAAAGCCACTCGGCAGAGGAGCATGGGGTGACGAGGGGATCCAGCGCCAAGTCTCTCAACGCGTCCTTGTTGCTTGCTCAAACCTTTCTGCAAGATTTGCGAGACCAACGCTCTACCGCGAACTCCGCTCAGTGCCGCATTCCGGCGAACACTGGCGGGTAGATGTCGACGGAGCTTCCTCTTTACCTGGGTGGGCTTCCTCTTCCCCCCTGGCTAATCTTGGCCTTCCATAACACATAACATACACCCTACAGCCCTGCGTGCAACCCAGGTCGCCAGTTGCTGCCACCATAACGGTGGCCCGGTAGCAGCCACGGTGTTAGTGTCGCACACCCAGTGTACCCCACAAGCCCGCACGGTACCCCATACCCCATATTCCCTTTCCCTCCACCGGCCGTTTTGTGCTATCGTCTAGCTTTGTTGACTTTCCTCCTCCTTGGCACTGTTCCCGTCGCAAAGCTGTCGCCCACCTCGGTGATGGCCACATCATGCTCCACGCACAGCTCCAGCGCACGGCCGTACTGCTGCGCCGCGATGAGCATCTTGACGGCCTTGTCGTTGTGGCCAAACTGCATAAAGAACTCCGCACACCGGTTGTACAGCGCGGGATCGCTCTTGTCGGGTGTCATGTCGTCCGCGATGTGCTGCAGCACGTCGAACAGTTGCGCCTGGAAGCACATTTCCACCGCCTTGCTTAGCTTGCCGCCTTTCATATACAGCGTCGCAGCCTTCTCGTGCTGACCCTGCGATTTATATAATTAAAATTAAGGAAATCAGGAGCAATGAGGTGTGAGCACGTTATTGAATCATCTACATAAATGCAAGGAGGTTGGATGGGAGGACGCCAGGCGGCGGATATGGTACCTATGGGAATAGTGAATCCAGTAGAAGCACCGAAAGTCAAGTCGTGCGCTCACACACCTGCACACAGGCTGAGATTGCTTTGCCAGAGAGAACCGGCAGAGGCCACTGAATTGGAGGTCAGCAGACCAGTCTGAAAACCAACTTGGTTTCGTAAGCTTGTCAACCCCTCCTCGCCTTCACCCGCTTCGCCAAGCCCATTGCGCCCACCCATCGCACCTTTTGGAACAGGTAGTCTGCGGTGTCGACCATGACGCCAGGTGTGCTCTTGAGTGCCAGGTTCATGAGGTCGCTGTCCAGCTCGTTCATCTTGGCCAGCCGCACGCCGTGGCTGTAGCGCTTGGCCTGCGTGTGGGTGGAGGGGTGTGAAAGGAAAGGTGGTGAAAAAACTTGTTATGCATGGGGTCGGAGGTGAGGAGCCAGAAAAAAAGTCTTGCTCGCAAAGTTGCAAGCCCAGCGTAGCTCACCCAAAGACCCTGCGGCTCCAACCTAAACACGATTTGGGAACCCCAACTTGGGACGCAGGCCCAGACCTCCCGGGTGCGGACCCCAAGCGGCAAACCGCCTGGACCCTCGGACCCAAACCGCTGCCCACGCTCACCAGCGTGTAGTAGCGCACGGCCTCGGGGATGCGGCCGGCTGCCTCGTATTGGCGAGCCAGGTGGAAAGCGCCCGCCAGGTCGTTGCTGTTGGCCACCTATTCAGGAGGTGTAGACGTGTTGATGGTTGGGATTTGAGGATGTCAATAATTGCCATGGAAAAAAAAGAAAGGTACAGAAGGGCAGAAGGACTGCATTTTCCTTTTGACGAAGCACCTCACAGTCTGGCGTGGGGAACCGCGTTCGCCTGGCTCCACTTACCCCCTCCTCCACTTCCTCTCCCACCGATCCCTTGCCCATTGACTCAGCTGCTACTTTACGTCCCCACGTCTTAAGACAAACGCTGCATGTTATATTCACCTGCACACCTATCGCCCCCATGTTAAACCATTTGCCTTCCCCCTCGGTCCCTTTGCCGCTCTGCCCTAACGGTGCCGCGAGCCCTTACCACCATTCCCCTGGCCTCACCTCCTCCTCCGCCAGCTTCCAATCCTTCTGGAAACAGAAGATTCGCACCATAGACAGCGAGTCGCCCGCCTTGCGGTAACAGTCCAGCGCCTTGCCGTACTCACCCAGCGACTCGAGGTACTTGCCCCACCACAGAATCAGCTCTCGGCTGTCGTTGGCCTATTAGGTAGCAACACCAGGGCGGGGGGGGGCGAGGTGGGCGGCATATGGGGGCCTCCGGGTATCGCATATGGGGTATGTTGGTAATGAAGATGTTAACAAATCGAAAGCGCAGGGTTGGGCTGCACATGAAGGGCGGAGGTCACCGCCGCAATGAGAAAGCGTGAGGCGTCCGGCAAGTATGACCCGTTATGTACGTGCGCATAGCGTGAAGCACACATCACCTCCTTGGCTCGTAAGATGTCTTGATGTCCATGATGATGAAAGACAGAGCAAGGAAATCCGTGGGATGTCACGTGCACGGGCGAGCTGTGCTGTTACCCCATAGAAGCCCAGCCCAGCCCACCTGGATGTACGCCTGCAGCTCGTTGAACTTCTCCGCCTCGAACAGCATGCGGGGTACCTCTACCAGCCCGCAGCCGCTCGCCTCGTAGTGCTTCTGGGCGTTGGTCAGGTCGCCCCCGCGCTCCAGGTACTAAGCACGGAAGGGAGGACCAAGGTAAGGGAGCTAGATAGGTCGACATGTTTACGATCAAGGCGATACCGGTATCCCCTGGCCAGTCCGGAAGGAGATAGGGCATGACCAGGATAAGTCAAACATGCATCGAATCCGGTCGATTACTGCCTGCACGTGCTCTTGCCGCAAAAGCTGTGTCCCGGTATGTTGGCAGTGTTGCGTGGCAACGACCGGCCCTGCCCCGCCAGACTAAGCCGGGAGGGATGTGGATGGACGGCACCGTAATGAGGTGAGGTCTTTAAACGGGATCGAGTGCACGCAGCTGCCTCACCTGCGCATAGGCGTAGAGAGTGGACTTCAGGTGAATGCGGTCGTTCTTCTCCGCTACCTCCAGCGCCTTGTCCCATTGACCGCATGCCCGATATAGCTGGTTGAGTAAGTCATACCTGAGGCGCAGCCGCGCAGGGACAAGCCGAGTCAGCCGGGGTGGGGAGACGGGGCCGCGAAGTTTGGGCCATGTTTGTCAGAGCTGCGTGCAATCTGTGGGCACGTACCGTCAAAGCCGTACGGCTGGACGAGCCGCTGCGTCTTGGGCCGGAGGGCCGCGGCAAAAGCTCGTTACCCCTCCGGCGCATGTTGACCGGCCGGCCGTTCCCAGCCTAGATCTTACCTTCAGACACAACCCCCATTCGCCATACTCCCCTCCCTGTGCTGCTGCAAGCACGTAACCCCTCGGCCGCACCTCTCACAGGAGATGTACAGCTTCCTGGCATCATCAATCATGCCCAGGTGCACTGCCACGGTGGCGACCCGCGCATCTGCCTCCTCAATGGTCTTGGCTTCGCGCAGGGCCCGGGCGCCTCTTGCATGCTCCATATTGCTCAGGCAATGCTCTGGCCGTGGGAAAGCAAAGGAGGGAGCGAAAGCAGAGGATACTTGTTCGGTGGGGATCAGGAGGAAGCACTAGGCAGGTTTAACGCGGAAGGGTTAGACCGAGGTAAAGGAAAGGGTAGGGATAAAGCCATAGTTGATTCACCCCATCCCTTGCTTCACTTTTCACCCATAAAACGTACCTACATCTTCCATGCCCTTGCCCTGCATCTTACGCTGCTTCTCTGGGCTTGCCGTTACTTCCTAATTCCTGACACTGTCCAGACCCCGTCCCCCTGCGTCCTCAGCCACTCACCCGCCACGTCCAGGCGCTTGTTGCGGATGCACATATGCGCCATGTTTTCCCATACTGCGGGGTTTTTGATGGCTTTCACTGACCGGAACGCCTCGTCCATGTTGCCAGTTGCCAGGCTGAAGGAGAAGTCCAGCAGCGCGCGGCGGGTCTTCTCATCCGAGTCCTGCAGATCGCCTCGAGGTTAGGCATGCGGACCTAGCAAAGCGAGACGGCAGTACCTGTCCCTTCGACCCCTTCACCGCCCCAACTCCCCCTCTCCTCTTCCTCCCCCCTCCCGCACGCTGACTGCAGCCCACCACCGTGCCAGCTTGCGGAATGCCGTCGTTCCCTCGGAAGGCACAGCCACCACCGCCCCGTCCAATGCCTGCTATTCCCCGAACTCATTGATGCGCTACTCATCCGTGGCACTCACCTGCATGCCCGCGAAGCTGGTCATGAGCACCTTGGACACGTTAGACGTGAAGGGCTGGTAGGCGCCTGAACCGGGGTTGGGCTGCACCATGCACTTCCGATTGGTCAGCAGGAAGGGCGCCGCGGACCCGATGCAGGCGGTGGCACCACCCTGGTGAATGGGTTGGTATTCCTGCGGGTGGGTAGGTGAGCGGGTGCGGAGATGGGAAGGAGCGGTGAAGCGCCTTGCAAGGCGGAGGAAAGGCGGGGCAGGGGTTCGCCTGTCTCGCCTGTCCATTGGATGCCCTAGTCCAGGGGGTTCAACGGGCCTAACCCACCTGAACCAGGATGCCCTTGTCCACGTCCACAAAGATGATGGCCACCTCAGCCCCTTGGGAGCTGTCCCCGCTGGCCGGCTTGTCCTCCACACTCGCCTCGTTGAAGGCAGGCTTCGCGGGGTAGGCCAGGGCAAGGTTGACAGGGATGGGTCGAAAAAAAACATCGCACAGGTGTGGACCGGTTCTCCAGACGGCCGAGGGCAAGAGGCGGGAAAGACCGCACCGTGCAAGGCAGAACCCGAACACCAAAGCACACAAGGAAAGGAGGCACCGCCTGCTCAAGACGCCCGAGCCTAAAAAAGCACTTAAACTGCGTCAGTGATAGGGACCAGGGATATCAGACTCGCCCCATATTCCCAGACGGCAAGTGCCACTCAATCACCCGTGCCCTTTCCCTCTCCTTTCAACACCCGCAGGCCCAACCGCTTCCTTCGAGTGGTTAAGCCCCCTTCCTTGCTTACCGACATCTGCACCACCAGTAGCTTGGGCTCCACAGTGTCCCACATAAGGCCCACCGGCACGCGGCCCTCGGGTGTGAAGTCATGCACGTGGTGCGTATTGGACTCGCCACACCACACCACCAGCCGCACTGCGCGCGCCGGCTCGGGCCCCACCAGGAGAGTCGCCACCATGCTGCCACTGCCGTTGACTTTGGTGGACATAACCTTCCAGCCCTTGAGCTCCGGTGGACACAAGGGCGCTGCGACGACAGCATCAGGACCCATCGACATAATGATTGGTTATCGTGCTTGAAAGCTTTTAACGCGGTGATAGGTTGTATGGGTGCTAGGAGGTGGGAATGGTACCGGAGAAAGTAGATAAGTTGATATCAATAGTCGCACGCACTCTCGTTGTCGCTCGACCCGCCCTATAAGCGTTCCTGTTTTGCCCCTTACAAGCATTCACACACTCCCCCGGGATGGCCACCCATGCGGATAGGTCTTTGCCGTAGCAGCAGGCGCAACAGAACGCGCACAACGTACCTGGTCCGGCGTGGGGTTTGGCCTCGCGGCCTGCCACTTTGAAGATGCGCACAAAGTTGAAGTTGGTGACAGTGACCAGGAAGTCGCGGGCCACGTCCATGAAGGCGGGTGAACCGTGGTTGTCATCAAACATGATGGTCTGCTTGACCGTGCCTGAGGGCGGAACAGCACAGGAACTACCATCGTCGTATGCAGCCAAGCGGGGCACATGGAGCAGAGCGTTGTGGAAGTCATCTAAGCTAAGCTGATTTGTTGAACGCGGTGCGGAAATCGCCCTCCTCTTTTGCTGACAGCGGCCACCTACACGGCGCTGCCAATCTGTACATCCCCCGCTCCCTCCGTTTCGCGCTCTCGGCCTGAGCCCTCCTTCCCTCTCCCTTCCGCAAGCAGGTGACACAGTCGTCCGTAGCCTCTTTTCTAGCCTCACCCGCCATGTTGACCACTTCCAACTTGCAGTCTGCGGAGCGGTAGACGGAGTCATTGTTGATGGCCATACAGCGGCTGGTGGTCTCGAACTGGGAGGCTGCCATGATGTCATTGGTCTCAGTCACCTTGTAGACCTGCAGCGAAAGAAGCCGCAGCAGCAGCCCGCAAAATCAGGCAAACCACCAAGCGGACCACCAGGTTAAAAACCCGTCCGAGGACATAAATATTGGGGCAAGCGCGCGTAGAGGAAGAACTTTGAGGTCGTGGTCGCTTTTCCAATACACAGGCCAAGCTTGTCCGCAATTGTGCGTTCTGTCTGGTTCGACTCCAACATCGGATTGGCGCCGGGTTTCCGCTACCCAACGTGCTACAAACACCCTACCCACATGACAGTGCTGTCACCCGTACCTCAGCGCGCTCCCCGTCCCACACCAGCAACAGCCCCTTGCTGAGGTCCAGACCCAGTAGCTGCATGTCCTGTGGGGCCCAGCCGGGGAATACACACGCAACAATATTAGGGAAACATAAGGGGAGTGAGACAAACCTTGTAACAGCAGCTATGGGACATTGCAGGCCCCTGCCAGTGATTTTTTTCGTTTAGGACGGGTCTCACATTTATTCCAACCTTAGTAACAAAGTTGCTAGGGTTGTCGTAACTTATTGGTGGGCGAGAGATGGACTAGGGCAGCCAGGCAGCAGCCTGCCCTGAAAGCACCCTTGCACCCCTATTCTTGCCAAGTGGACGGGCGGCGTGGGTCTTGGGTTGTGCTGAAACCCGTCCCACCTGCAATTGCAGCCGGCCCGGGGGACGCTGTGGTTCCACCTCCATGTTCTCCAACACGACGCGGTCCACAGCGACCTGTGGACGGGAGCGGGACACCAGTAATTGTCATGGATGGTGTTGGCCTCGCCGAACACGGCACCTCATAAAGCGATGTGTGTGTTTCACCTCCTGGAGTTGCGTTACCTTCCGAAGGTGTAACGACCCCATACGCCCCGCAGGCCCAAGGCCCAGTCTAGGGCTGTACAGAAAAGGATAAAACAAGACGCACATGTGCACAGCGCAACCTGCGGCACACTACGAGTGCCCTACACCTGTGTAACAATGGCCTATAGACCGTGCCAATGTATAGTGAAATAGGCCTAATTATAGATGGTCTATAGACATTCCTCCATTTTACAAACGCAGTCGCAGTAGCAGCAACATTCCCTCCATTCGCCCCTCCTTCTTGCCTGCATGATCGCCACCCCATCCCGGTACTTGTAGCTAAGCATGGTTTTGCGGCAGACGTTGATGGCGTCGCTACAGGCCACCACCATGAGCCGGGGGAAGGGACCCCACTCCATAGATAGCGCCCGGTTGCCGACCTGGCAAGAGCAAGGCCAGGCGAAGCAGTTAGGTCAGGCGGATCAGCAGCATGCGGCGCTACGTAAAAACACAATCACAACATCAGCACTAGGTATCACCATACGATGCGTGTGCGCAGCTCAGAATCCGCGTGGCCTCCGAATATGAGCCACAAGAAGCCCGAGCTATCTTTTTTTCCACTTCCCCATCCCTGGCCGCCCGTCGACCGGGACCCAGGGCGTGGCCCCACTCACGAAGAAGGCGGGCTGCATTTCCCAGCACTTAGCCAAATCCAGCACTGGCTCTGAACGCTCCGAGGGTTCGTTGTACTTATACATCATAACGCGGCCATCCGTGGTGCCCACCGCCAGTAGGTGGTACCTGCGGAGAGCAGGGGGCCACCCACCAAGAAAGGGTCTCGATCTACCTGGTTGATGCATTTGCCAAGGGCTGGGGTGCGGGATTGGTTGCGGGTAGCGCACAATAATCGGAACTAACATGGAAAGCGTAGGCGTGCAGGGATTGGACTTGGACAACAGGGTATGCACGCGGAAGTGCAAGAGGGTATTGGACTGGGGGCTAGCTGGGCAAATAGCCTCACACAGTGGTTAGGAACTTGTGGATGTGTGGACGGCTGCCAGCCTCGACTGGTCGGCTTTGATGCTGTAGATTCCAGGGTTCAACAGTACAGCCAGGCCGCCCCGGCTCAAACCGAAATTCGTGAGCAACTGCAGAGAAAAAGAAGACGAAGTCTCCCACCGGAGGAGGATCCGAGACCCTCGTTCCTTCCCTCGTTCTCTGCCACACCGGGGCCCCTTGCACATCGTGCGGGATATGCCCACCTCTGGTCGAACGCCAAACACACCACCCGGCTAACCAATCCCGAGTCTTGCTCCAGGTTGAGCACGTAGTTGTCTTCCGTGTCGAAGTTGTACATGCGGACCACGTTGTCCTTCTCACTGGCGGATGCCAGCGTGTGGTTGCCCGCCCAGGCCACCTGCGGACGGGAAGCGAGGAGTGTCTAAAAGCTAGCTATGCAGCTAAAATTGCAATCCTCGGGGCTATAGGATAATGGACCGCTGGTTGAGAGTGGAAAAAGACTTCAGCAGGAAAGGATGGGAAATTTGGGTTACCAGCAGACCGTTATCACACCCTCCGCCGGCTTTGACCACACACACACACACAAGCCGCGGCTTCCGCGCATCTTTGCGTACTTCACACTTCGCAGGTAGTCGTGTAGCATCGTGAGATCACAGATTTAACCCCACGCATCCCGCCGTACACCCTACAGCCGAAACTATAAAAAGAAAAGCGCAACCAGCCAGTCACGGCCCGTGGGCTTTGTAGCCGTACCTGGAGCCCAGCGCCCGACGCGGCCTCTCCCGTGCCCGTGGCGAACTTCATCTTGGAGGTGGTGGCCCATGAGCCCAGCTGCTCGTCACGTGCCAGTACGTTGAGGGTGCAGGAGGCGCCGATGACCAGCAGCTGGTCCCGCTCCGGGTAGTGCACCAGAGAGTGTATAGACTCACCCATTTCCTAGTTGGCAAAGGTGTGGGTTGTGGGAGGGGTGGGAGAAATGGTTACGTGGGGGAGATAAGGCAATGGCCCCACGCATGCTTCGTCGCGGCGCAACGATTTGGCGGACGCTGAGGTTAAGCGGGAGGGCGTGGGAACTCCCGCCCAGTAATGCAGAAGGAGGTAGGGGAGGAAAGATCAGTCTAAGCCGGTGTAGAACCCAACCGGCCTTCAAATCAAGAATGGTTAACTGCAAGCATGGCAAACCGCCAAAGGGCATGGAAGCACACAGTAAAAGGCCTTCCATACCTCCATACCTCCACATGGAAGCACACAGTAAAAGGCCTTTCATACCTCCATACCTCCACCGATGCCAGAAGCCCGTCATTGGCCGTGTCTAGTGCACGGGACGCTCTGCATGCCCAACCCAACGCATGTCTATGTATTTACCTGCACCACCCCACTGTAGCCCTGGTCGTTACACCACTTGACAGTAGCTCGTTCCGTGCCGTCTGCCACATAGAACGCAACCACTACCTGCGCGGGTGGGGACCCGGCAGCAGCAACCGTTTCGCTGAGGCGAACGAAGGGAAATCCTCGTTGACCGCAAGATGAGGAAGTTAAAACTGACCGTAGCATTGGCCAAGGCCCCTGACAACACCAGCCGAACCACGAAACAAACCCAAGTTGGCACGGGGAACTGCAGTCTCGCAAACCCGTATTGTAGCCCCTCAGCCGCCCGGCCTAGCATGCCGTCACCATTACAAGGTCAAATGCACCCTACAGGTCAATCCCCGGGAGCGCCTCCCCTCTCCCATGCCAGGGTGCCTCGCCCAATCCGACCTGGCTGTTGGTTTCAGGGACCTCCTCCGGAAGGCCCACCACAATGTGCCGTATGACAGCTCCTGGCTCGTCATACGCCACCACGTGAATGGGCCGCAGCAAGCGATCCGTTTTCCACATGGAGATCTGCGACCGCAAATAGGAGTGTGGCGGGTAACAATCGTGGTTTGCCGTGGCAGAGGCGGCAGCTGCGGCACGTGCGCACTAAGGGGCCGGAGTCCTGCTGCAGTCCTTCCGTGGCATGACAATGGTCCGTGTCATCAGCCGGTGCCGTTGCCACACCCTTTTTGGGTCTGGCCAGGCAGGAAAAGGGGCCTATCCTTGCTGGCGGCATCCTAGACAGGCTGTCTAACGAGCCCTGCCATGTTGGCATGCCTAGGGTCCGGAAGTCAAAAGCCAGGCCAAGAGGGATAAAGCAGAGGTTGTCCTGTGGTGTGGATGTGGTTGCGTAGCCGGCACACACGCCGGATTCCCACGGCGCAGATCCAGCGCTCGGGCAGTGGGAGGCAGGGGCAGCTTTGCATGCGCGCTAACTCCACACTGAGCGCCTGGCATGCCAGAGCCCCTAGCGTAGTGATTGCGCAAATATACGGCCCCGAAGCGGTGCGTCTGCATCCAGCTGCAAGCTTACCCTGCCGTTTTCATCACCGGTGATGAGCCGGTCGCCGCTGTTCGTCCACGTCATGCTGCTGATTGTATTTCGGTGGATCTTGCTGTCTTCCTCCAGCTTTCGCTCCTCCGCGTTCCAGAAGGATATCGCGCCTGCAGGAGGGTGGTGATGGAATGAAGGGGAAATGTGTCCCATAAGGTGGGCAGTCCTTGCCACGAACCGCTGTTGGGTGCTTCGGCTTGTGTGTATGTACATGTGTTGATATGTGTGGGAGGCACATTGCCTCACAGCGGGCGTGGGTAGGAGACCTCACGAGTCCAGGCTTGAAGCCTTTTAGATAGCACCATTTGCGTTGCGCTTCCGCTGCAGGCACGACCCTCGCGGGGACTTTGGCGGAAGGCGGGGAGCTAGTATACCCACGCCAGCGGCCTAGCCCAAACGGGTGCTTACCATCCTTCCATCCAATTGCAAGGAGAGGCAGCAGCGGGTGCCATGCCAACTTGGCACACTCCGTGCCGCGGACATTCTTGATGTTCGCTTCGTTGTTTGGATCTAAAGGTCGACCCTGAACCGTGTAATATGGATCACACATAAAATTATGAAACAGTGAATTCTCACGGACCACACGTGCGGACTGGGCGCACCTCCTCATTGTAAATGCCAACAGCGTTCGGGCTGAGTGCCACCGCCAAATATGAAGGGTATCCAGGTGCCTGTGCATGAGTAGGTAACGAAATTACTACGCTAATTAGGGTGAACAGAGCGCGTGTTCGAAGCCACCGCATGTGCTCGCCTTTGACCATCCCGCTATAACTCCTGCTCGCCCAGCAATCTTCGTCGTATAGTATATTTCCATTGTTAATTTGCGGCTTTCGCGCTGCCGCTATAGCAAGTCTAGTAGTAGAAGGACAGACTTGGCGTCATGGTTCAGCAAGGATAATGTTTAAGATCATCATACTAATCTTCTTCCGAGTCATATGCACGTACTTAGACTTTCTGAGTAGTGATTGGAGGCTACCTGGTGGTTTCCGTAAAGGTGGTTACGATACAACCGGCAGCTCAGGGTCGCTCCGTGTAAGGGGTTAAACCATAAGTTGACATGCAAATTCTATCATTGCACCGTTGGGATCCAATTAGGAATGCGGAATCCAGGTAACAGGGTTGAAAAGCTCACGTGCAAAGGGGACGGGGCGCTGTGCCTTGCACCGAGGAGCACCGGCCTTGCGTGGCTCATAGTGTCACGGACGAATCCTTGCGACACACGCACCGCTGTGGTCCGTAGGCACATTTTAATGCAGGACTCATCGGCCCACATGCTGGTCCACAGACCCTAAAACCGCATGGTCAAAACAGCCAAACAGAATGCCGGACGTTTCCTCCCCCAAAAATAATACAGCAGTCACGGCCATATGCTGACCAGGAAACTTTGCAACGTCAACTTGGGTCGAGGAGCTAGTCCGTCAACCGACTGCCCTGGGAGAGGAACAGCGGGACATATCTGGACGTAGCGGGACCAGCGTCCTCCGTCACCAATCTTTCCTGCCGACGAAAGAAAGTCTGACAAGTGTGTTCACGCGCGACTTTGCGCTTGAATGCTTGCAGTGTACGCGCCGGATACGATTCACGCGAGAACGTGGCTCATTGTCAACGCGCCGTCTCCGTGCGTATTTTTTCGTCAAGTCGCGTTTAACGCTCAAGCTATGCTCCCCAATGAGATCAGCATGGATATAATCAAAAAAGCCCAACAAACCTACTTACATTCATCACTTGTGACAAAACTAGCCACCATACAAATAAGGCAAGATGGCTGCGCACGCAACCCAAAACAACTGACTGAACCCCGACCTGTTGCACTGTAAAATGAGGGAAGGCAAACGCGGCTTTGTACAATGCATTTTTTTGCCGCTCTTCGTCTAGTGCAAGGAAATCAGGCCAGGCAGTCCGGCAGGCCAAGTTCAATGCAGGCAGCCCACTGCTGCAGCGGTTCGGCTAGCCAACGCAACGCAATGCATACCCCCTTTCCGTCCTGGTGATGCACCGGCCCATACCACGCACTGCACTGCACTGCGGCGGCTCGCCACCCACTGCTCTCGTTAGTGAAGTAGCGCTCTGTTCATCTCGTTGCAGCTAGCAGTGCGCCACGCGCCCTCCACTTCCGATAACACCCTTGCCCCCTGCTGCGTTGCAAAGCAGCATCCCTTCCAATAATAAAAATAGCAAATTACTTTCTAAACCTTGACAAACACACCCAAGCGCGACATATTTGCATGCACAGTAGCCACGGACGTCATTCACGGCTTGCGGGCCATTAAGTTTCCACAGGGAATACGGTAGGAAAATGTCCTTGCACTTGTCGGTGTCGGGATGACCCAGATGCACGACCTAGAAGCCAGCTTTATGAGCAAGCGGTCACGAAGCATGATGTTGCCCTAGCTGCAGGATGCTCCTTCAGCTTACCTTCATGTATCAGCTGGCTTCAGATCAGCGCTGCTAAGGTACCTATCTGGCTCAGTCCCCTGGCACGCCCCAGCATGGCTGCAACGAGGCTTTCCACCTCACATTCGATCCCGGGTTCACGACTGGCACTGACTGAGAGTCATCTGCATCCTAGGACGCTATGTATGCGCCATTCAGCCCGACATAGCGAATGTGTCCTTGCCGTTGCCAAGCCCTCCTCGAGGCGAGGACGTCCTGCCATAAGTCACACATGCGCCCATACCCCTTTCCATAGTGGGTTATCACATCACGCGCGCTTGGCTTCCCGTTTGGCGCCCGAGGCGCGGACCTTGTCGATGGCCGCCTCAAGCGCCTTAATCTGCGCCTCACGCTCCTCTTCCTTCTCCCTCTCCTCCACCACCTCAAACACGTGGTTGTACACGCGCGTCTGCAGTACGTGGTCGTACGATACTTCCCCAAGCCGGAAGCGCTGCTGCACCTGTATAGGCATTCGCGCCTCCACCCTTGCAGGAAAGTGCACATGGGGTTCCAGGACACGGCTTTCAGACTGACAAGGTTTGTGAGTCCAAATTGTGGAGTTGTGGGTTGGTTTTGGTGTTCAGGATTACGAGCTGAGGAGTAAGGTTCCGGCAAGCGGTGTTTTCCTCCTGGGATACAGGCGTAAGCGCACGTGCGTAAGCGCAGGCATGGCCCCTTACCTGAGCACGTACTGCGCCCAGCGCAGCCGCCACTGTTTTTCCGATCCACTCCAGCTCGTCGAGTAGACCCGAATGATCATAGCCACCATGACATTGCTCAGCAGCAGCAGCACCATCGCCACATACAGCAAAAAGTACATGGTTGCAAAGGCGGTCTTGACACGATGCTTGGGACTAACTGCCAGCGCGTCGTAGTCGGCTTCGCCGTACAGGAAGCGCACCATCTGAATCATGCCGTAGCCAATGTTGGCCATGGGGTCAAAGACCGCCTGGGCAACCCACGGGACGGTGCCCAACACCACCTCTGTGCTACCGTTACGGCACATGTAAAAAGCCAAGGTGAAACCAATGTTCAAAATGAGGTAGAGGCACGCAAATTTGACCACCTCCCACCAGCACTTCTCCACCAAGACGATTAGCTGCCCGACGGCCTGTTGGGGGGCGGACAAACGGACAGACGGCAAATAGATTATATATATTGCCAGGGAATGCAGCCCAAAGAGCCGCCTTAAGGCCACCTCTACAATACGGAGGCAAGATCTCTGCGACCACCACACCGGTCGCGCCAGTGCACCAGCACAAGGATTCTCAAGCGACTGGCCTCTTGCACGCTTTCAGAACCAACCTCCCACTGCGCCGGAATCACCGCCGTATCTTTTCCAACCACCCGTCCTTCGTTGGGTCCCCCCACCTTGAACACGACACCCGCCGCCAGCGGACAGCCCAAACCGCCCTACCGGGTGTCCTCGCAAGTAGTACAGCACGCTGCCCCATCCGCTGAGCGCCATAAGGGACACCACCACGTCGTCGAATTCCAGCAGGCGGACATCTTGCGTGGCAGAGCCGCCGACCCCGTGGAAGCAGGTGGCCCAGATGATGAAGTGCACAAGCGTGGCGCAATTGTGGAAGACGTGCACAAACTGTATGGGGTCGCGAACCATGCGCTTCAAGTACCCGCGATAGGCATGCAGCAACGTCCTGCACGGGTCGACCGGGGCGCGTTGGATTGTGGGTAACGGAAGGAATGGAAGGGGAGGCGCAGGGGGGCCATAGCCAGGCGCGAGCTTGCATGATGCGCGCAAAACCGGGAGCACGCCGGTCTACCGGCCTCTGTATTACACCTGGAAATATGTCAAGGGAGGGCAAGGCTGCTGAAGAGAGAAACGCCATGCCCGCCAGTACGCAGCCCGCCCGTGCCAGTTTCTGGCCGCAATAACAGGTCCACCCCTTCTCCTTGGATTACAGCATCCCTCCCTACGGCATCCTCCAAACAACCAGCCGCCAGCCGCAATACCACCGTACCAATCCGCCTCCACACCCTGTGCCCCACCTAACGTGCCGCAACACCGCGGGTGTGCGGTCCAGCTGCGGCTCCTCATCCACGGTGCCCTGCGCTGCTGCGTCCGCCTGCTCCTGTTCACCGCCCGTTGTCCCGCCCACATTCGTCACCTGCCGCCGCGTGGAGGCGCGGGGTATAGCACTGCCGCCCACGTTGTCGCCTCCGCCGCCACGCATGCGGTTCCGGATCTCGCCACCTGGCACCGGGGCCGACGGCGGGAAAGTAAGACAGATGGCGCGTGACATCAGGAGAGTGGATAACCTAGGCTAGGGTTCTGACCCAAGCGCAGTGGCACAGGAAGGGCCGGGCTGCTTGCCCTACAAGGTCGCCAAGGCGCACTACGCTAGATGCCGCGTGTATGTCTAATGCACGTGTACATCTGCTTTAAGGATTGCAACGGATGTAATGAAGGGGCCCCCCATAGCAGTGAGCGAACCCAACGCGAGCGTCCTTCACGCGCCCTGACCGTTGACACGCAGCGCGCCCCGATGCCCATTCGCTGTAAGCGACCCAGCGTCCTGACAGGTTGTAGCTGGACGCTTACTAACAACGGAGTGCTTCAACCGACTACGACGGAGTGGAAATCACATGACACGCTACACAACATACAGCTGCCTCTCGCGTTCACAAGGAACATGCCAAAAGATATTCACCCCTGCCGGCGCACCTTCCCCTACCGAGCCGCCCAACGAGGGCACCCTGGTGAGCCCCGCCATGGAGGGGTTGGACACGCGGGCGTGCGGCCCGTCGCGGCCTTCCTGCCCTTGCAGCGGCGCCGCGTCTGGGGCACGCAGCATAGTGGTCACCTGTGGTGCCAGTCACACGACATGTCACGACGCGTAGTGCCTGGCAGTGCGGGAGTTCGTGGTGCTGATGGCAGAAACAGCTTAGTGAGGAAGGCTTCCTTCGCCGGCAAGTCAATATTTGGCACGAACACAGGGTAGTCCCCAAGGCCCCAAGCACAACCCCACCTTGCTGAGACCCTGGCCGACGGCATGGAAGGCGGGTTTGGAGCCGCCCATGAGCCCTCCGGGCAGACCGACGGGTCCCGGGCCCAGTCCCACAGACACAAAGTCCACTGGCTCCGGCATCGGCGTC